TTATATATGCATAAATGAGATATTTTTTGGATTTTTTGATAAATGATGATATTAAACTATGTTTTAACTTCAAATTTTTTATGTTTAAGGGGATCCTAAACATTCTTGAGAAGTCAGTTAGTTTTTCCTTTCTTATCGACAAAATATGAGGTTAAATAAACTATAAATCTATTTATTGGGTCTATGGATTGTTTTTTACCTGAAATTAAAACGCTTCTTCCTTTGTTAATATTATTAATTTTATTTGTATATACCCAAGATATATAAGACTATACAGATTAATAAATCTTTTATCTGAACAAATTAAAGTTATGGATTTTAAGTATGTTTAATATATAGCAGCGTATAATTTTGTATTATGTACATTCTATGTTTAATTACATGTATATAGTTCTATCATGCACTATTAATGAGTGTTACACGCGTGGATTGTTTGATAGAAAAAGCTAAATAGATATGTATCATTGCAAATCATATTTATTATAGTATCATTTTCTAATTACATGCTATAGTATCCGTATAAATGTTTAATATGACAATAATTATTTTTGCCTTCAAATAAAACTATAAATGTTTTTTAATGATAATGTTATTGAATATTTATTATTAAAAGAAGTACGAAATAATAAAAAGAGAATCAGATATAGATTATTGTAAAAGATTCAAATTATACAAAATTCACACATTTACACACTATGGTAAAAGTAAAAAATATATAATTAAAACTTTCTTTATAAAAACCAAGTCTAACTTGTAGGAATTTATTTTGTTGTGAATATTGATGTTTTGTCAAAAATATATAAGGATCCTACAATCAGAATATCATCAGATCATGTTTCCATACTGTGCCTATATGTCCATAATTCACGAACGGAACTAATCGTTCAATTAATCATACCAGTTTTGGATTGATAAATTGTATGCAATTGTATGCACTTTTATCGCGCTTCAGCGAAATCAGCCTCGCCGCATAAAAAAAGTTTTTGTTATTAATAGACGCGAGAGAATCTATCGGCGGGTATAATAATATGAGAATGCAATATATATTTCTATTGAGATAGTTAATGGAGTAAGACACGCAGCTTTATGTTGTAAAATTATAATATTATGACCAATGTGCCACACATACACACATATATGTATATAATAGAGAGAGAGAGAGAGAGAGAGAGAGAGAGAGAGAGAGTTTATCCCGGATTTATATATGTGCCACATTATAAATTTTATTTAGAAAATTATCTTAAAATAATAAATTTTAGATATTTAATAATAAAGAATCCGGCATACGGTTTTAATATGTGTATTAAATACATTAAGCACATTAACATTAAATACACAAAAATTTATGTAATAAATAATTTAAAACATGTATATATATACATATATGAATTCATATATTAGGTACACGTATTATCACGCTAATATTTCAATGAGCAATACATTCTCAGAGCAAATCCGTAACATTTCATACGGGATTTATATAATCTATCTTAATACTCGGATTATAAGAATATTTTCATGTAACTTATTGTCTCTAAATAATGTGTTAAATTCACATACAAGGTGTCCCATTTTAATTTCCTCAGGCAAATATCTCGAAAAATATTGGACGGTACGGAAAAATGTGTCAAGTAAAAGTTGTTTGACTCGAAGGGGGACATAAGATGCCATTTATTTGACCTTGTCAAATCATTTGAAGATCACGTGAAGGGCAACTTTAATTTCTTAAATGGAACTACCTACTTTTCATATTGCATATCCTTGTAGATTATCTCAAGAGCTTTCCAGAACCCTATAATAAAGTATTTTTATAGAGTACTTTTTGAGTTAATAAAGATATTTGCCTAAGGAAATTAAAATGGGACACCTTGTATAAATTGTTGCATATCTTATATTAAAGAGATTTTATATTATTATATATTATTTTATATGACATTTAAACTGCAGTATAATAAATGTAATGAATAATGAGAAAAATATTAATATTATTAATGCTTTTTATAGCCGAGGACTCTTGCATTAACATTATGTTGAAATCATATTTATAAATCGATTTTCTACATGGAAATGTTTAATATTTGGTCGCTTTTGTTATGCCTCGTTGCAGTCGCGTTTATCAACGCATCGGCACATACAACATTAAAATTGCTTTCGAATACGTGTACCGAAACATCGAAAATATTAAATTTTTTGCATTGTTTAATAGTTGCAGACACGAGTGAACCTAATATGCGTGAAGATTTTATTAAAACTTTTTAGCACATGATTAAATCTACGTACGTATATATGTATATGTATGTATATACATATATATAATAATGTTCATTGAAATATTGTAAGTGCCTGTAATCAATGCCACAATTCAGGTCAACGCATTTTCTGCAGATGTATGCATTTTTTACTACTTGATTTCGGTGAAATATTTTTTATTAAAATATTCTCTCCATTATATAGAACCACAGGAAAAAGTCTATGTGTAATCAAAAACAAATATATATAATTATAAATAAAATATTTTCTTTCTCTTAAAATGTCTGTTTGTATATATAAGAAAAATAATAAAAAGAATAATTTTCGTATTACCCTTTTTAAAGGAAATAAAATTTGAAGAAATAAAAAATAGATTATATATAATTAAATAAGAAGAAAAAATTACCTATATTATTATATAATTATAATATTATATAGATAATTTTTTTTTCTTCAAAACCTAAAAAAATTATGCGAAAAAGTTATTTCTCTAATTATTTTCAATTATTCTTTTTATCATTTTTCTTGTATATACGGATAGAGATTATACAAAAGAAAGAGAAAATACATATAAAAATATATTTTACATATAAATACATATCTCAACATATATGAAATACCTATACCTATATTATTATATATATATAGACTTTTTTCTCGGTATATTTGGTTGGATACGTTTGATGAACATATTAATGATATTTCTTTTTGATAACTAAAATTTTGTTTTTATTTAGATTAAAAAAATACTAAGATTTTTTTCATAGTTTTATGATGGTATATATTGTACATATAACAATAATACTTTTTAAACCAAGATTTTACAAAAGTTTACTTAAAATTAAGTAAAGAGTTATTAGTGTTTTTCATTTGCATATGTAAACTATGCGCGATTTACATTTGTTAAAAAGAACTCTTTTCTTAAAAAATTTTTCGATTATAGAAATTACTTAGATCTGGATATTTTTGTTAAGAGAAAATCATAATTTGCAATAAAAAATATCGATTTTGTCATGTCAACTAATATTTGCCATCACAATTTTATCTCGGTTGAAAGAAACAAAAAAATTGTTTCATTGCAAATTTTAATTATATATTTTTAACTAGCAGTTTTTTTTACAAATTAATTAATATTAATATTAATAATTAGACTGTTTACGCGGGCGCGTATTTTAGAGACGAATTGGAGTAGGAAGTCAAAACGTACTCAAGTTAAATGAATAAATAAATGACTTCTCAGTATACGACATTAGTTTCTTTGGTCGAGTTATTTACTCAAACATTTGCCAAAAACGAGGAAAGAGAGCCGACTCTTTCTTAAAACGCATCTGTGAATCAACATAATAGCCATTCGTGTTTTACGCGATTTGAATAAATGCGAATGACCTTCGACAAAAGTGCAGAAGTAAGACATTTAACATTTCGCGAGGTAAAGCAAGATACTATGTATTTATCGGAAAGAATTTCGATATTATTTGTCCTTTTAATTTCGATCATCAATGTTCAGTTAATAATTAGATGCTGAGAGTTTTTAAGGAAACGTATAAAGCTATATATTTACTCCATTTGTAGTTGTTCAAAGGTTAATAGTATTTTGATTAATTACGAGGTAATTGACAATGCGAAAATGTGCAACTTTAGAATTGTTGCGAGTGGATTTTACAATTAACAATTGATGTTTAAAAGATGAAGTCAGTATGCATCGCGAAATAAATGGTGATATGTGTATTGTATATGCAAATTCTACATGGAAAATATAATATATAGTAAAAATTACAATTTATAATTTTTGTAATCGTGAGACATTTTAATAAAAGAAATCAATATTTTTATTCAATCATATTATTTACATCCGTATTATATTTTACAATGAAGTTTTATAATTATTCCAATAATTTGATGCACAAACAAATGTATAATCATGAATAAACAACAAATACATAATTTACAATTTAATAGTAATAAATAACTCAATATCATTTATATTCCAGCTTTATAATAAATAGTGTAAAAAGGAACGTATTTTTCCTGTAATTTGAACTATAAAATTTTTTCCGTATATATACGAATCTTTTGTAGCATGGGGCAGCTTGTCAACATGTCTGTCATCGAGTCCGATTACCCGTTCGCTATTTGAGCATGATCCGCTTGATTAAAAATATGCCACATACCGAGAAGTCATTTATTTATTCGTTTAACCCGAGTACATTTCGATTTCCTACGATGCAATTCTCTTTGAAATACGTCTGCGTAAACAATTTATCAATTAATATTAATTAATTAGTAGACAAAAAAGCGACAATATAATCACAACATTTTTTTATTTATTTTATTTAATCTTTCTATCTTTATATGTGAGATATTGTATATTCTTTTATATATTATATATTATTACACTGATGAAAAAAAATTATTAAATTAATAAATATTTATTTTCATACTGCCTAATAAATCATTTATTTGAAGTAAATAAATATTTATTTGTTTCGAAAAAGATTTTCTCATAATAAATAAATATATGTTTCACGTCAAATCAATACTATTAGTTTCAAATAAATGATTTATCTGACAGTATTGAAATAAATATTTATTCGAATTCAATAATGTTTTACAGTGTATACTTAAGTAATAAAAACCGTTAGCTTTGTTAAAGAAGATACGCAATTCTTTGAAGAAACTTCACTTTTTTTACGAGCTCTTTACGAGCTATTAACAGAAAATACTGAATTTGCACAGCGTTCTAGACCTACCGTAATGCGGATTCGTGTGATGCATTTCCAGTCTGCCATCGCTCCATATATCCTTTTCTGCGTCTATTGTGTAATTGCCGAGACTACTGATTAGCTGAACGAAAGTGGAGTTCTTTGTCGTGTCAGTCTTGTTGCGCGACAGCACGCGTAGTATGTCCTCCTCTTCGAAGGCACTTAGACTGCCCGAAGGCGTTAGGATGTTCACTGGTGACTTGTCTGCGTACGACAGACCGATCAGACTGAGAATCGCCCAAATTCTCACAACCGTTCCCATTTCTCCCCTCCAACAAAATTGTCAAACCAAAAAGTATTACACGCACAGAGCTTTATGGATTGCACAGTTTAATTTTTTTGGTACCGCGATATCGTATCTTCCAAATGAATCTGACAGAATCGGGGTGGCGAGATTAATCGTGGAGCATGTTCGCGCTCACGCGATCGCCATCCAAAATGTTCACTAAACTTTGGAAGCTGGGAAATTCGCTATTCGCTCGAATCACCGGAAACGTTCTCTCGAGAAAAGAATGGAAATAACGAGTCGCGAAATCTGATCGAATCCCGGGCTATATCGAGTGTTTGACGAATTGCCCGGCTGTTCGAAGGCGAGTTTAACGAGTGATCGCGACACAATCGCGAAACGACCAAGTCACCTGGTGCCACCTTGCCAATAGGGAAACCGAGAAGAGGGGTTGAATATATCGTGCCGCACGTATATGCTCGTTCCTCTCCCACTCTTTTGTACCAAGAAGGACCTCGATCGTCGGTGAAATAAAAGTGACTAGGTGTAACCGCGTGAAAGTATTGCTTATAAATCGACGAAAAAGTCTTATTCGAGAAGGACGACCGTGAAGATGAGAACAAAGATTCGAGTCAATATTCCGGCACATTGTTGTCTGTCGCGATGCTTATTATAAAGAGATCAGTTTTTTTTTGCTTCGCAAGAATAATCTTTCTGCGCAAAGAAAAAATCAATTAAATGAATTAACAAATTGATTATTAACTCCGTTGCAATGGCATATTTATTCGATTACCTTGTTGCAATTGCATACTTGACATTGTTTTCCGTATATTAAAAATAAAATTGCATAATGCATATCTCTGCATACGAAAGTGAATGCATCTTAAAGCGGTGGACTTTGTATTCGGAATAGGATATTTTGTATGCGTACAAATGGAATATATTTTAATTAAGTCTATAAAAAGATTTATGTAAAAATAAATGATTACGATAAAGGAAAGGCTCTAATATGTTGAAATAAAGAATTAATGGGCTAATAAGAACCGGTGCGTCGGAAATAAGAACGCAGCAATTTTTTATACTTATTTTTTATTTCTGTCACAGGTTAAGCTGAAGATGGTCCAAAGAAAGGACCGAAACGTTTTTAAGAAGTAAAGAATAAGTATATAAAAAATGTTTGCGTTTTTATTTCCGATGCACCAGTTCTTATTAACCCATTCCTTTCAATCCTTTATAAAAATAAATCTTATAATTTGCATTGATGCTATCGATAAAAGAAAGACGATGTGAATATTTTTGATACAATATTGCTGCAAAATTAAATTGCAACGAATAAGCCTGCACACACGCCTAGATTCGATATTGTTCTACTCGACAGCTATTGATTAAGATTCGACGGCGGTTTAGTGTGGTCATTCATAAGCGAAGCAGTGTTGATGATGACTCGAGATCAGCGTACAATTAAAGTTATCCTTGAAGCGCATTCCGTTACCGTCTTTGTTAACCGACCACAATTTCTATTAACAGTCGCGACCTTGGAAAACCGCGATTATCATCAAAGACTGATCATTTCATTATATAAGGTACCGTACAATGAAAAGAGCTTTTTTCACAAAGTAGTTTAGAAACGAGCAGATCATGTAAATTCGTCGTAAGAAAGCGACAACATTTTCGATCAAATAAGTTAAATACTTCTCAATGTCTCTCAATGTTCATCAAAATAAAATTTTATGTAACTAACATTTATGCTTTGAAATAATAATGTTACAAAACTTAGAAAAAATAAGTAGAAAAAGGTAAATTTTTTAAGAAAATTTGTATAATTATTATGTCGTATAAGAAGTCATTTTTTCAAAATAGATTTTCAATTCTTTCTTTCAAAAATAACGCAAAGTCAAACAAAGATTAATACCGTTCAACCGTGAATTACACGAACTAGTAAACTCCCTTCTTACTTAATGTTTAAAAGTGGCGATTCAAAGGTTGAAATATTTTTAAAAAAGAAGATTCATATTATAATTCATTATTTTCCAAACAATAAATTTTTGATGAAATTATGCAAATTTTTATTTGATGAAGTTAGAGGATTAAAGAATAAATAAATTTTTATTTTTGGAACACTCGAACACTGTCAATAATGTCACAATCAAAAAAATTCTGCTAACGCATAAATGAGAATAATTAAATAAATAGTATCTCACGCTTGATTAAAAAAAAAAACTAGACGCAATAGAGACGAATAAATCGATTAATTCAAGATAAATATTAATTATATATGATTCAACTGTATGGAATATTTTCAAGACGCATTGAGAAATAAATTATCATCATACTAAATAATATGACAATATCACGTTATTAAAACATTAAAGTTACACGTACTTATTTTCGTAGAATTTATAAGAATATTAGAAACTATTGTATGCAAATTTCTATTTAAACTCAATAATAATCATCAAATATATCCCACATAAAAACATATATATGTACCAGTTCAATCCAAAAAGTATTTCTCGAAGGCAATCGAGACTGCGTCTAGCCTTGAATGCGTTGGGTGTTCGACCTGTCGAACCTCAACTCTTGATCACCTTTAACTAAGGTCAGTGGACTTTCACCTATCTCTATCTGGAAATACAGAATTAATTATATGTTACTTCAACGTTCAATCTTCTAAATGATTACGACATAATTTTATTGATTACGACAATAAATATCGACATCTCACATGATGTAAAGAGAGATTTTTCATAGAAAACTTTGTACATAAAACTTTTCGTTTGGTAATAATCAAATTACTCTTACTGCTGTATGTTAATTATCTTATTTGCATTTATATATATATATATATATATATATGTTCATGTACTCCATTTTCTTCTACATAAAGATGTAAGCTTTGGCATAATTTGAAAGTCGAATTATCACGAGACACGTGCCGTCACTGCACTATGCATATATTTGCACAAACATCCTCTAATCGAAATGCTAACCCAATTCAAGTTGCAGAAACCTGATCATCATTGCAGAATGACTGTAATGTATTGCATTACATGTCATGATTCGATGTGTCAATTATATCACGAATATTAAAAAGTATTAGAAATATTACACTCTAGATTTATTTTTTGCAAACAATATATAGTTTAAACAATAATTGTATACTGGAATTTTTTTCCTTATAGAATTGAAATTGATTTTAGCTAATGATGGAGTTAAATTGTGTGCTAAAACTTATTTATTGTTAAAAGACTTTATCAACTTAATTCAAGGCTGGTGAATACATTGCGTGAGTCTCGATGCATTTTTCTTGTACAAAACATTTCTAAGAGATCAAATGCATTCTACTTAATTGTTCGAAAACTCTTTTAGACGAACATATATGTAATCGTGGAGGACACTGGGTTGGGGACTTCCGCGAATTGCATTCTTTAGCAACAATCTCGTTGCAACAGTATTGACAACACTCGTCACGCACACGCACTATCTTTCTCGTTAAAGAATAGTGCACGTTTACTTGTCGATAAATTTAAATCGCGATCTCTTTTATGCAACAAATTTGATTGTGTTGTCGCATTCGTTTGCAATATCGCATAATATAATTATCGATAGATGCATTATTTCGTCTAATCAATGCTCTATTGATTTGACAAATATTTTAGTATCATAATCATAGGAAACTCGATTTTTTATCGAATCGATAAATGTTTTTGATTCGACAAATCTTTTTAAAATTTAAGAAAATTCTCCAGATTTCACTAGGTTTTTCATCTATCTTTGCTTCTGTTTTAAGAAGTATGAAATAAGTTTAATAATCGATATTTATTTTGGATACAAAGTACTATTTAAAATGGATCTTATTTAATTAACCTGTAGATTTTATTCTAAGTGATATTTATATATATATATTCAAATTACATTTTTAAAAACTGGATACTTCAATTTCATTTAATAGACAGAGATACATAAAGGGTTTAATTATAGCAAGCGCAAAAGTAATTAATCAATTATTCGCGTGAGCGCATTCTACGTAATGTGTTACGACATTAATTTGAAGCTAATGTAGCTTACAATTAGTAAATAAATCGCGTATGCAACGATCGAAATAGAGTTTGCTAAATCGCACATTATTTCCATCGCAAATGAGCGCATCATAATCTTATCAAGGATCATACAATGAACCTTATTATAGTAGCGAATAATTTACTTCTTCCATCGAGATTCTTGTTATAACATATTATTTGTTCGAGGTAAAAACATTAGCTTGATTGTAGTATCATGTCAATTACACTATCAATTCAATTATGCCATTAGTAAGAAGTACAGGAAATTAAACAAGGATTATTCATGCTTTTTTTTTAAATAATTTTTATTCCAATTATGCGATAAACGTTTGTCGTAAAAATTAAATATAAATTATATATATTATATAATATATATATATTAATAATAAATTATATATATTATATAATATATATAATTTATATTCAATTTTTACGACGAACGTTTATCGCATAATTGGAATGAAAATTATTTTAAAAAAAAGCATGAATAATCCTTGTTTAATTTCCTGTACTTCTTACTAATGGCATAATTGAATTGATAGTGTAATTGACATGATACTACAATCAAGCTAATGTCTTTATTTAATGTCTATATTTTTATTAGCATAATTTTTACGACAAACGTTAAATAAATTATATATATTATATTAGTAATTATTTATTTTCATTTATATATACGACAACTTTTTAGATTTGATAAATTATTAGATTATTAATATTAGATAATATGAAAAAATACACGACATATCATTTATCATATATTTTAATATATCTAATATTTAGTTATAAACATTTTTATATTTCAAACATGCCGTTTTTGCGGAAAGATCAATCATCAGAGGATTAATAATATGACACGTTAAAAACTACTTATATATTTCATCATTCTTATTTAAAAAAACTTGAGAGAATGAAAGAGAAATATTTACTCGTCAATGTTCACATATTATATGCTTATATTATATCCATACGAATTGATTTTCCGGTGATAAAAAAAAATAAAAATAATTAATCGAGGATTAGCGCAATGTCTTGTGTGTACTCACGACACACGTGCGATATGTCATTTATTTAAATGAGATGTGGTTTCGCTTTGTATCGAATGTAAACGGGACGCATGTGTTGTTGAACTTCGACGACGCGTTTAATGTCCTGACCGATCTATTTTCTCGCGTCGCGTCGACGACGATAAAAAAAGAGTTAACAATAGGATATACTGTGAGCACACGATTATTACCGCAAATATGCGCGCGGTGACTGATAGTTTATGATCTATTACTTACGAGCTCTCTTCTCGAACTTTTCTTGACATTTCTATGCGAGGCTGCAGGTGTCCTATTTCTCGAGCATTTATATTTTACGACGGATTTCTTGAACTTTCTTGAGGACGACAAAGTCGCGTAAACAAACCAAAATGTCTTTTGTTTCGCATTGTAATCTCTCCTCTTTCACGAGTTGGTTTATTCATGGATATATGCCAAATCTTGTATAAGTGTTACATAAACCTTGCGTAAATTCGAAAGAAATTTCTCAAGAATTTGTATTCGAAGCACGGTGACACGTGTCGCTGTTATGTCAAATGTCAAATCTGTAACGCGCGCGAGAGATACACGTATATATATATATATATATATATAATATCTCTTTTATTATTTTTGATTCATAATAAATCAGCTGCGAATATTTTAAGTAGGATTTGATATCGTAACGATTGACAGATTATACTTTACACATTCACGATTTATAATCCACGGGTGAAACAGCAAATGTTTCTATTTTTTATATTAAATAATATTTGTTACGCTCTCTCGCCTTTGATACGCGCCGGCTCGGCGCTCGGGCGTTCTCGGGGGCGTTCGGCAGTCTTCGGCGGCGCTCACCGACAAGCGTGCGCCGCCGAGCGCCAACGCTGTGACCCGTCGGCAGCCGACCGGAGCGGATCAAAGTCAGATGTTGACAATCGGGAAACGATGTCGCCGTCTTTCTCGCGCGCGTCGCCGACCATTACCTCCTCCAGTAATCGTGAGCCCGCGGTAAGTGCGCGGGCCGTCCATCGCGTCCGTCGCGTTTTGACGATGACGACAACGACGACGCGTTCGGCGTCCTTGTAAAATATATTGGAAGGGAGATTTAACGCCGCGCCGCGCCGTTGCTCCGATTGAGGACGGCCGTGCGACGTTCATTCTTCGCACGTGCACGTCGCGTCGCCAACAGCGTGAACGAGGTATCGATTCTTTTGAGCGCGAAGAGAAAGGGACTTATATCGGAGCGAGGGAGCGTCGCCGTGTGCGAAAAAGCGCCGCGTCGCGGCGCGTCGCGTCGCGTCGCACGACGCCTCGTTAAAACACGCGTATTCTGGCGGCCCATTCTACCCGTCTACAGCTGAGCGTGACGCACGATCGCAGGCGATAACGCACACCGAGGAGACGCACACACGCCGCAACGACAACGTCACATCTCGATGGTGAGTCTTGTGAATCGCTGTCGACGTCACGCGCGCGTCACCGCGCGTACTCGCGCGGCTCACTCGCTCGCGCGTGTTTTCATTTAATGGCCTAGAGCGCCGACGACTTTGCGTAATATATCAACTGCCGGAAAAGGAAGGAAGGAAGGAAGCACCGCCTACACTTTCTCGAATTCGGAGTTCGCAAGGTCGCCGGTTTTTTGAAATTTTTTCTTCTGCTATTCAAGACTTCTCGATTTTTTTCTATTTTTTCATTTTTTTTTTCTTTTTTTATTGTGTGGAAGAGCGCGAGTGCGAGACGGAAGACGAAAATCGTGACTCGAATACAAAATGCGCAATAGTTTAGGTATGGCTTCATCCTCCCACAAAATCCTCCCTAACGAGAAATGCATTCTCTGCGGCGATCGCGATTTATTGTTTTCCAATGAAACGGAACTTAAATTTGTTTGGAATTCAGATTTTATCGAAAGAGCAAAAGTTGGGAAAGCATAGCTTTCCGATAATTTAGCGCGATGAGTTATCACGCTATAATTCCGATTTGATTAAATTTTAAATGTGAATATATTTCCATCAATAAACATCCATTAGAAGAGAAATGTAAGACGCAGATATTAAATTTATATGCAATATGTGATACCATTAATTATGTGTAATCGTAACACAGGATAAATTAATTTCAATATCTGATATATTCTTTTGTGTACTTTTTTGGGGAATACACACAGAATATTATTTTATATATATTTGATTGCACCTTTTTCATTTAGCTTTTAAATTATTTTCTTTACTATGTATTGTGTTATAAGGATAAATTTGTTAAATTTGATTATAGACTTTTACCTAAGATATTTATGCAGAATTCATCTGTATATTAATGTAATTCGTTAATTTTGAAGTTTATTGAAAGGTGCACTAAAAAATTGACTAAACTTTTCAAAATAACTATTTTGTTAATTGAACATATTTGGTATTTAAGTCAAATATACATTTTGTTAGATTTCATATGTTATATTTCATTTTAATATTTTTATATATTCAATTAACAAAATAATATCTAGTTAAAAGGTTAAAAGGTAAAAGTCGAGTTAACAAATTTTCTTATCAGTGTGTATCCTTATATCACTTTATCTCTCTCCAGATGTCTCCGCAGACATCTGATTCTCAATCCTGCTCGAACTGGAGTTAGTAATCGATCGAAGTTCTTAGACTTCTGGCGTAGTTTCTATTCTGCGCCATCTTGCTTGCAATTTTATACAAGGGATTTATTGCAACTTGTAATCTCTAAAGCAGTATTCTTGCAATCAGAAATGTATGCTTCTCTTGATGATGTTGAACGTACTAATTAATTGTTATCTTCATGTAATTCTTGTTACTTCAAATCTAAAATTATATGCATTTTTTGAGGGATTGTGAGGATATATTTATGAAAAAAATAATATAGTTTGATACAGTTTTTTTGTAATATGTATATATTTTTTTTCCATAAATATGTCCTCACAATCCCTCTTAAAAAATGTATATAATTTTAGATTCGAAACAATAGAAATTCTATCTCAGAAATTCTATTTCATATTATACAGGACTTAATAATAAAATGTAGCAAATCGTCTTTTATCTATGAATTTTTTTAGGATCTGTATCTTTCCTTTAATCTTTTCTTTAATCGACAAAGTTTATCGTTCATCGCAAATAAATTTTCTATTACGTTATACTGATATCTTTGTTACTAATCTCCGAATTAACAATAATTAGGTAAAATTGAATATATTGTATTATTTGTTTACATTTCTAAAATTTAATTTTTGAAGTAACTTTTTAATAATTTAAACACTATTAATTTTTTTAATATGCTTTTTTGTTTCGAAATAGAATGGCACAAAATTGGATTTAAAAAATGACACGATAAAAATGATGAACTTAATAACACTTAGGAGCTAGATCATCTTATATCATTATACTTAATTATACGTAATGATAACTAAAGTAATTACTATATGTTTCTTTTTCATTTATAGACATGTCGAAATACAAGGATTATATATAGTTAGATTGAGAAATCAGAATAAGAGAAACCTTTTTTGATTCCTTTTAAGATGGCAATCAGATCTATGTTGTAAGTTTGATTGGTTGATTATTTTGCAAAAGTTAAATTATGTGAATGTGTATATGTATGTCGAGGTCAAACAACTAATGACATAAAATATTTTGACTATTAATGAATTTCATCATATATTTGAAAATATACGACCAAATTTTTATTTTTATCTTTTTTTGGTTTGTAAAACAATTTAAAGTAAATTAGGATTTTTTAATTTCGCGGATGATACATTTTATAACTTTTTCCACTTTTTTCCGATTTTATAATATTCCTATGTATATTTAAATTTCTACAGAAATCACATGATATATGCAGAATGTTGCTTATTATGTTTTGTCATTTTTATGCAAGTCATATAATTAAGAGAGATTTTCATCTCAATTTGGTGAACTTTTAATAGATTGAATAACGACAGCGACAGAATACGTTAAAAAAAGCTTCGATCAAAATGTCAAAAATAAGATTTATTCAAAAATACTTGGACGCGACACAATCGATATACTCTAGTCCTAAATACTCCAATGTCTCAGATTAGATCTTATTATCTAAAGTAAGTTTTCTTATTCTGTCTCTCTCTCTCTCTCTCTTTGTCAAAGTATCGATTGGCAACTAAAACGCGAGTACATGTTATGCAGATAATAACGAAGATTCCAAGAAGTCAAAGAGGAAGGAATTGATAATTCCCGTGACATAGATTGCAATTATCTCCCTGCTTGTCAATTGCTGTTATTAGTAGTCGAAATTGAAGCTTTTTTCTTTGGTTTAGTCTCTCACAGATTATACAATCATGAATGAATATTAAATAAAATTTAATTTGCATCAAAGTAGTACAGTAGTGAAGTTATTATAATAGCACAGAAAATTCTTGTTTCTATATAGCGTGAGATATTTTGATATAAAAGTTTTTATTTTATGCTAGATGGAGGACTATAACTATAACTTTGCCGTGATATGATGACGGGTAATATTGATTCTAAAACAACACTATTATTGTGTTCGATCGAATTCCACATATATTATTATGTATATCTATTTATAGAATATCACTCATGAGATACGTGATTTCGCGAAGTACATGTTATTAGAATTAATCTAACATCACGATGGACTAAGTACAATTAAAAGCTTATAATTGTGAAAAAATATACATTTTATTGCAATTAATAATAATAATAAGTAGTTTCCGCAAAGATAAAAAGTGTGCATTGACTCTTAAACTGAACTCTATTATTTTTATCGAATTATTAATTTTTACTCCTGTAAATATATACAAATATCATATGTAATTAAAAATTGTTAACAATTTTTTTTTGTATTAGCACATTCTTTTATCAAAATAGAGTTATAAGAAACTTCTCTTCTTTAACGCGAATTAAAAATTAATCTGCTAATTAAATTAATTTTATATAAAAAGTGCAAAAATCAGGTCACTGTATTATTGTTCCATTATTCTTGTAAATAGTAATACAGTATTAACGATTATAAATGACTTCATTTTTCACATATACGCACTAAGGTATTTTAATTAGTACAAAAAGGCTTTCTTTAGTTACGTGACTTTACATATAAGATTCGTAAACAAAGGGTCGATCCACCAATTACCTATACAATGACTTTCTTTCGAGTGGCGGCACTTTGTGCTTGCTTTCTGCTCCCTCGTCGTGTAAAAAATACATACATATATCACGTAAAGCACCTATACCTGACCCGCTAAAAATAGTTTAACTTGCGTCTTTTTTCACATTTGTTCGAATAATAGATCTTGTTTCGAAAATGTAAGGGAAATGAAGGAATGCCAAAAAACATTTCCTATCAAAATCAATAGTAATTTAAATAATTAAAATTAATTTGAAAAATAAGCTTTTGGAATATTTTTTTATTATTGTTGAAGCTCTAAATTGTTAATTCGTTTCTGAAATTGTATTGAATTATTGTATAATGTCAAATGCAGAGAATTACATATATTTTTGTTTTTAGCATACATTGAAATATACATGAATTAATACAAAAATTTATAAAACTTATAAATATCAATAATTTGTTTTTAGTTCTTAAATAAAATGTGTTATTTGAAAAAAGCTTGTTTTTTCCGAATAAAAATATATCGTGAGAAAAAAATTAAAGCTTAAACACGCACGTCGCTTTTGACATTATTTAATGATTCTAAGTGTATAATACTATTATAATACTACTAAACTAATAAACTAGATCTCAAGTTGGTTTCGTATATCGGTGATTAAATAAGGCACACAATATCGAGGACATTGATGCATATAGTATACATATACTGTTGATGCACGTGCAGTTCTTTATTCTAGCAGATTGTTTCATTGTGATAAGTTTTCACTGCATGCATATATTTTTTTTTTCATTATCAATATTTTTCCAGATGTCGTTAGAGGTAGTAAATTGATATGAAAACCAATGCGATTAAAATTTCAGATTTGCGTCTGATCTCCCTAACAATACCGCAAAGTAATTTTAAAAATATTTCCAAATTTTTTAAAATAATATTTTATGTAAATAAAAAAAAACATTAAAGTTTTATTTTATTATTTTTCTGTTGAGAAATTTTTTTAAATTAAAATTTTTAAATAATGTAGATATTATTCATAAATATAGTATATAATTAAAAATTGCGTGATTATATAAGAATTTAGTGAAATATAAAAATGCGAAATTTTTACATCAAGTATCTTTAATATATTTTTATCATTGTCACTGCGGTATAATAAATAATTAGATCGGAAATATCACCGTTTGCTTATGTAAGCAAACGCTTGTTATAAATTCGAAGCGGAAGATTGATTTGCGTCAGCGGTTTTTCCGGTGATGCACTTCTTTTTTAAGACTAGGTAATTCTTGGAATTAGGCTTCTTTTTTAGGATATGTATATTTAATTAGTTAAATATACATACAGTGGAAGAGATATATATTCGTACACAAAATTCTCACTATATTGTACAATAATTTCAAATTGTGCATATTAACCCATAAATATTTGCTTCATGAGCATTGTATATATATTAAATATTTCTTGTGCAGAGAAATTTTCTTACAAAATTATTTAATACTTTAATGATTTCTTTCCATTTTTAAAAATTTATATGCTTACTAAATATGAAATATCAATACTTTATTAGAGCTTATCCTTTCTCAAATGTGAAAAAAGGGACAATTTAAATTTTGAAAATTAAATTTTTGAAAGAATTTTGTCAAAGAAATTTGATGATAAATTTATATAAAAAAAATAAAATTATTTTTCTTCAAAGTATCAGCACTTTTCTAATTGAGCTCTGTATATGCTCTTAAAGAATTCTCTCTCTTTTTCTCTCTCTCTCTGTCTCTCGGTAATCAGTAATTATTTTTTACATAACTATGATGATTTCTCGTTTCTTGCGCAAGAAAAAATTTTTATAATTTCGGATATCTCGAAAAATCTATCTTAGGTCATCTCGGAAATGTTTTCTTCGAAGAAATTTACCTAAAGCCATTGTAAACAGCATTAAACTTATCGTTCATTGCCTTTTATGATTGCATCATTATCTTGATGCAGATGACAATGTATTTAGCTCTTTCATTTGTATTGCTCAGCTCCGTTCTTTTCTTCCTCTCTGTCATTGGTCCAGAGTTCTGAGCTTTGACAATGTAAACAGTTTTATCATGTATATTGAACGCTTCGTGTGGGTGCTATGAATCATGAATGAGTATAAAGCACCAATGTGCGATTGTCTATGTACTTCACTTGTATTCGTTCCACACGTGTGTATTGCTACGACTTGTATTATCTTTCAAGGTTGGATGTGCATCACGAGGATATGAGGTTTATGGAAATGTATCCTCCGCTCATAGATACAATTTATGATTCAAAAATATATTTTAAACTTTGAGACAAACTTAAAGACAAACAAAAAAATTAATCATGAATTTTTTCAAGACTTGAATGAAATATTCTACATTAAGTCCGCGAAAATATTTTGTCGTTTACGATATAAAAACTTTTATTTAATTTACATAAAGATTCGCAAACTAATTACAGTTAAACATAATTATTTTGCAAGTTTATTATATTAACAGTAAAAAAATTCGAAGATAATTAAACGACGCGAGAGGATCAGTTCGATAAGTATCTTTTTTATTCAAATACTCAAATATTTAGATTTTCTAGAAATATTTTCTACATTTCATATAGATTGTTTCTCATACATTACACTCATACATTACATGACATCCTCTAAGTATACAGATATTTATTTTAAAATATTATACTATTTTCTGAAAATCTCAATCAAAACTTTTAAATCTAAAGGGTCTCTTTATATTTTTCAAAATATGAAAGAAAATTTGCACGAGAAATAAATCATCCATTGGAATCCATTTCGCGAAATGGTTTACTTTTGCGCAAAAAGAACGAGATATTATTTTTCCGCAAACTCGATAAATCTTGGCACGCGAGCGCGATGACACGTTAAATCGCTCAAATTTAATTGATCTCCGACGTTGGATAGGAGTAGTCTGTAAAATGATAAAAACGTCCGATTAGGTGAAGCTGCGCAAAGTGGTGCCTGGCGATGGCGGCAGTTCCTCGCGACGGCGATTCTTCACTGCGACCGGAGATTGCCTTGCCATTTCCGGCTATACGTCGCGCAAAGGATATCGGAGAAAACATCTTACACGTGTACAAGGTACCGTTTGCTCACATCGTGCTCTCCTTACAACTAATTTCACTAAACTCTCGACGTTTCGTGCACTAACGTTTCGACTAATTTTGTGCTCCAAACGCCTTCATTCTGCGACGGAATCCTCTGTTAACTTTGGAAATCATTCCGAGCCAGAATTAACAATACTTTACAACTTGAGTCTAATTGAGCGCGTGTCTTTAAACAAGTAGTATAGTGTATACAATAATTATGTGAGATATAAGACGTTACTAACAAATTACTAATTTCTTGGTTTGATTATAAGTAAAAAGTAATTTGTAAATAAAATTAATTTTTTTATGCAATGTACAGGATATATGTAGTATTTTTTGTGCAAAAGTACCGTTACGTAATATAATATTGTGGCAGCGTAATCTTTATTAAAAAATAGGTGGAATGAGATAAGACGAGGCTTATGATAAAAGGAGAGGCTGCGATGATAGTTTATCGATTTTCATGCGATGCTATCTGTATTAATTTCATAAAATTACTGCTACATGCGCATTTTCAACTCCAGTGTATGTATTGTTCTAATTGCAGTAATTATATCTACTTGAGCAGTAGTATATTTTTCCGAGCAATTAGATTAAATGGCCGCACTTTTATGTAAAACGCGCATAAGCACTTTACGAAGCCATTTATTTTGCACCGCTATTATGATATAAACATATTATATCTACAGTTTTGGTTGACTGCATATAACAAACTGCATAGAAACAAATTAAAGTGCGCATTATAATTCGAAAAAATGCATTAAGCAGACTAACAGTACATTAAGATTACATAACATTATTGTTTTTTTTTTTCAAAGATAGCATATTCAAACAAGTTTTAATTAAAATTTTTTTTTAAATATATAATTATAAACGCGGAAAAAATTTGCACGCATTCTAGAATAAAAATTAAATTGTAATTTTTTTATTTTTATATTTCTTATTTTTTAACATGTTTTTCTGAAATTCGTGACTCATTTTATCAATATTTTCTATTTTAATAATTACAATTACTTGTATTACACTTGCGTATTGTGAGATATTTGTGTATTGATGACGTAAAAATTACACACTTGAGATGCAAATTGCATACGTTGCAATAAAGCAACGGGGAAACAAATACGACTGTGATGACTTTATACGCGATATTATTTCACCGATGTTTATTTTAATAACAAATATGAAGATATATGCAATATGCATTTTTATATATACACAACGTTTTAAAATTATATTGTGCTTTATCTTTATTTTAAAAACTGTTGACGAGTTAAAAAAACAATTTTTCGAGATATTAATAATTTTATATAATCATTTATAAAAATCTAGAAATGAATTAGAAGCTGTTTAAACTATTAATAGACGATGATATTTTTATTTCAGTTAGGTACTTGTAAAAAATAATTTTAATGAAAAATCTTTATAGTTTAATTATCGAAGTATTTAATATATCGAAAGGATGAAAATTATATAAGATGCTCATGTTTTGTCGTTTTCAAGTTTTCGTTAAATCAACTCCAAATTAATATGTTTAAGATAGTTTCCACGATAGTTTTGGTATACCTATAGTATACGTATGTATATCGTCAGCTGTGTATACATACTGACGTTGTCATTAGTCATTAGTAATTAAACGTCAGCACTTCGGGCTTCATTTCTTGTATCGAGCTTCTCTTCGAAGTAGTAGTTTTGCGCAGTGGACTTCGTGATCACCATCGTCGTATCTCACAATCTTCTTATCGCGACGGTTTCCGAATCTCATAAAGATATGGGTTACCTTCCAATACCTCGTGAGGAGGCTGATAAAGTTCTTGATGGCGAATACCTATCGTTTGACGAAGAAGGTAACGTTTTAACATTAGTTGTTCGCTGCGTACACATTCGAACTCGCGCCGACTTTCGACGAAAAGTTTAGACACGGGTGAGTGCTCGCAGAGAATTTATTCGCCCCATAAAACCCTCATCAAACAAAGACGCACAATTTTATACATTGTGATATCAGTCTTTTAAATCTAATCTTAGATCTTTAAACCACGTTGACCTTTTTACATAAAGATTAAGATATGCCAAATTTATCTATGTATAGGGAGATTTTTGTTACAAAAATCATTTACGAAAACTGAGAATCTGCTTTTTTTGAAGCATGAGAAAAAATATAAATTAATAATTTTGAAATCATAATTCCCGACAAATCTAAATTTTAATATTTCTTTAATATCGATTTAAACGTTGGAAAGATATGAAATGTTTTTCTCGTTAATCACCAATCTCACTCTCATTTATTACACAGTACTTATAACACAAAAGTATTGGAGATTCTACTCTTTATTCACAATGTTATGCTTTCTCATGATAGATCTCGCGTGTATTTGTGCCGTAAAGCGCGAAATGTAATTAAAATACCTCAATAATTGAGAATGTAAACGAGCTAAGCTGCCATGTTATGATGCAGGAAAGAAATGCAAAAAGTACACAAGATCTGGAAATGATAATAAATTAATTATGACGCGTTCCAATGCGCATTTACCATAAGAGTTTGTACTACTTTTTTCTAAATTATAATTTACACAATAGTTTAAAATTAAATTAAATTAATTTTATCGCGTATAAAAAAATCTTTATATCACAGCATAACTTATAATTAATCTATGTATGTGTATATAATTTATTCAATTGTGAGAATAGAATAATAGAAAGTAAAATAAAATAGTTAAGTTTTGTAAACACATAATTGCTAAAGGATTTTAATTAATTACGTATACATGTACATTTTAGCACACACTGAATGCATTAAAATTTCTTATGTCTATATATAGCGGGCCTTACAATCTCAATTGATTCTATTATCGTATCTTAAGGTTCTCGATTAGATTGTAAATTGTTATAGTCTGTGAAACCTAATTAACACTGGATAATAGATTGCTATAATCTGTGAAAATTAACATTAGTAAGTTATATTGGAATCTAATTAACAATATATTAAAAATTTTTAATCTATATTTATCTATAAGACTGTTTATAATTGTCTTTCTTTTTTATTCTTTTGTTTTTATTTTATTGTTTATGATTATTAGTTATTATTTAGTCGCATAATGTTATTTGATATAGTATTATGATTATTTTAATATTTTCTATATAAAATATACAGAAATAATTAATCGAAAGGTTAATACATAAAGAGAAAAGGTAATAACATCGAATGAATATGTGAGAATAATATTTTTAATTCTTTATGTGTATGCATATATGTATAATATATCCTTAAAACATTAAAACATGCAGCATGAATCTAAAAGAAACAATAAACAGTTATAGAATTACTGAAAGTTAATAAAAAGATAATTTTTTAATTGAAGATTTTGAATAATGAGTAGAGAATCATGTATGAAGAATGATTTGAGTGAGCTTGAAAGCAACAGTAATTAAGCGTGAAAAAAAGACTGCCGACTATTTTCAGTGCTGAGGATGCTGACACCGAGACGAGCGGGACCAGTGGGCCCCGAAGAGATCGGAGATGGACCCGACGACAAGAATGCGAGCAACGTGACGAGCGGCTCGGTCACTCCAGGCGGTTCCTACGAGCATGGCGACAACTCTAAGGAGTTTCTGTCGACTGGGAGGACCGGCAGGAGAAACGCGTTACCGGACATCCTCGGCCGACACGCCGAGACCGGCCTCTCCGATCTGTCGGATCGGTTTGAGGAGATGTCCACTGACACAGGTGTCAATTCACGCTCCTTAACCGCTCACGATCTCGATCAAAAGACTGTAAAATAGTTGTATATAATAAATAATGATTAAGGAAAATATAAAATATTTTTGTGATTGCGTGCTTCTCATGGACTGTTGCGTCCTATGTGCTATGTACCATGCTTTTTTTAAATGATTTATACAAATATCGCGACATGTTTTGTTTATTATAATTTTATGCTTTAATAATTTACAAAAATATTGTAACATACTTCTTCGCACATTGCAATTTTTTTAATAGAAAAAGTTTATCGCAAAAAATGTTGTTTTAGATTTTTTGATGTCTGCATATTTTTGAAGCATTTCTGTGTTGTCCGGAACGTGTGTTCCGAGAAAACTTGAATCCCCCATATGTTGCAGATCATTCTAATAACAGTGGACAAGATCCGAGCATACCGGGTACCTCGAAACAGCATGGTTGACATGCCCAAGGCTTCATAGCGAATTTTGTTATCGTGACAAGACAGCCTTCCTGAGCATCATCGATGACATCGACGAGAACATGATGAAAACACGTACCGTTTTTGTGAACGAAGTTCTCATTTATGCTTCTTGACTCATGTTGTAGCGATAGAATGTATTGACTGACGCGTGTAAACGACAAACGGAACACGCGCTTTTTGTTGTTTCTGCAAAAACATGTTAAAATTTAATGAGAAAGAAATTTGGACTCGAAGGAAACCATAAGACAGGAGATTATAGTTGAAGGGTTCAATGTAAGAATGCAAGACTTTAAATTGTAATGTTCACTTTTGACTACGAAAGAGATTGTACCTAAAGTTTAAAATTTCTTTTTAATATGGTTTTTATTATTTTGTTATGTAAATTGCTAGCTTGTAAGTAAATTATTACAAATTATAAATTTATTTTACTTTTACAGTGAATTTTTCAAAGTACTTTTTGATTGAAGAAAACCAATAATTTTCGTTATTAAGGTAAGATTGATTTACAATTTGATAATAAAATATTGGCAAGATTAATTTCGCTAAACAGAGAAAATCCCAGCTTGTGTGAGATATTATAATTCTCTCAGATTATAAAAGTAAAAGATACGATTCGATTCACAGTAAATGATACAAAAGATGAAATTTTTTTCCTTTCTCTTTCTGAAATGTAAAAATTACTAAGCTAAGTTTGAACAGTGTATTTCAAATATTACACATTTTATATATTGGGCAATTAAATATTTTCTCTGTTAAATAATTGAAAATTTTTATTATATATTTCTCTACACAGTGCTTGAGGCATATATTGCACATGTATTAAAATCGGCGAAATATAATGCTTGACTCAGCTTTGGCTTTATTATAATAATGATACCGTTAAAAAATACAGTAATATTGTGATATATGTATAATATAATAGAGTAACAAAGTTTCTACTTTTTAAAGCCGTTTTATTTTATATGCGATTATCGATGAATATTTCGCGAGAAAGGAGCCAATGAAAAACATGTGCCATCAAAAAGGTTTTATGGAACCAGTTTAAACTTTGCGCTATTATTAAATTTTACAAGTTCCGCCCTATATGGATAATGCAGCGAGAGAACTACGCTTTTAATAATTGAGAACGGCATTGATATTGGCATTAATATATATAATATCCGTGATACAATACGAGTATTAATTATAAATCAATATGAAATATATAGTAGAAACTGGCATTTTTTCTAAAACTACGTACTCATTTTACGTATGATATCGCTGTATTAAATTCAGATTTATTTATTAATTTAGTTGAAGTTAGATTTTAACAAACAATGATCTCATTCAAAATTTCCATCAACAAAATGTCAAAGAGAATTTCAAAATTTAATATGGCCGTAATTTCTATACGCTTTTGAAATTAAATGCCATCTCTTTGTTAATAAATTCTATCGCAAAGATTTTCGCAAAATGAGAAAATATTCGAGACCCGATAAGTGATTTTTTTGACACAATTTCAATGAATATGGAATGATATTTTCGCCCGCGATATTTCGAGTAAAATTAATTCCGAGGAATTACGGTCATTATTTTTTTTTATACGTTTATTGCGAAAACTGTTACGAAAGCGCTTGTAAGATTTAATTATGAAATACAATATCGTCGCATAATTTCATTAATGTTGCGCGTTTAACTTGAGTACTCGTTACCTAACGAGTGTCCCTTCTCATTAACGTTGTACAACTGTAGAAGCGACCTACAAACCCCGACATGTTTCTAGTGGCCGAAACACAATTAGATATTTGTACAGATGGAATTAAGCGATTAATAGCGTGTAATTGCGCATGATAGCGGACATGTGTACATATAGATATATTGAGGGTGATATGTTTCACTCGTCTTTCAAGTCGATACCGTTTCGGCGTTGTCCTCAATTTTTACGAACACGAGCATGACTAGTGTAATCAATGAATAAGATATGTTCTTAGGGTATGATTAAGTCTGTACATAGGCACGTATTGCGTTGTAACGTGTAATCGTATTAGTCCGATGTTTTTAAGGTACGTTTTACTACCTACGGCCGTCTGATTCTCATCTCGCATTTGTTTGCGCCTTGAATATCATTTTTATGTTGGAGAGAGATAAAGTTTAGGGTAAAATTAGGTTTTTAGACAAAAAGCTAGGAATCTAACAAAACTTAAGTATATGCGCGATGAGAATACAGTCTGTTTCAGTGAAATAAAATGATTTTAGACTTGTATATGTATCAACATTCTTTGAAAACGTCGAAGCATCCATCTTTACGAATTTATTGAGAAGAGCGCAGTTGAGAAAATAATAGTATAACTTAAACACGCTTTTTTAAACAAAAACGGTGGATACAATTAAATAATTGACATTTACCTGTAACTCTTTTTCTCGATAAGGTCATACATGTGGCGTGGCTTTATCGCTTTTCATATTTCAGTCATATACTATATCGAATAAAACTCTCGATAAATACGCTAAGAATTGTGGATCACACGTGTGATAGGCAACAATATTGATAATGATCTCTCTAATCAGAAATTCGTACAGCGCTTTTTGATCGTACGACGCTTTAGTTTAAGAGTCAACTACGCGTTATTTCTCTCCGCGTTTTCATAAACAGAGATTCGAGCATCAATAATGTACTATATTTTTTTTTTTCACGCGTACCTGTTTTTCATAGTCAATAATGGTAATTACGCTTTCGAGATAACGGTGGTCGTTGTTGTGGATTTGTAGATAAGTGCGAGTTTTAATGGACTCGATTCATCCGAAGCGATTAGTGTTTTTCAGCAAAATAATTCAGAGTATGTAAATCAACGATTCGATACGATAATGAGATCGCTCCCTCGCGATTGCTCCGCTGAAACGGTCTATGATACCGCTGCGATTATCGTTAAAAAAATAATAGAGATCGATCGCGACATTAGAATACGGTTGAGTCGCGTATCCTCATGGCCTTTGTGCGTGAATGGTATAGTGTCTCTTGTGTGGAGAACTTGTGCGCGCGGAGAAGATTGACATGATTGTAAAACGATGTGTACATTACTTCTACCTGTGGGAACACAATACACAATTTTGATTCGTACGTACAAATTTCTTACGACACAATCCAATCATCGCAATCTCCTTCTTCCTAAAAGATTGGGAATATTAGTATTTTAAGCTCGTTGTTTTACACGATAAACATTTAATTTATTTGACATTTTACTCTTGCAATTTTACAGTGAAATTAGAATTAAATATGTTTCTCGGTCATCGTCGAAAATTTGATTGCGATCTTGAAATTTAATTACGCGTTTGCTCAGAGGAAATTATTAAATTTAATGATATGTAGATTATGTTTATTATTTTATTATGCTATGTATTTATTTATTTTTGTAAAAAAGAGTATTTTATTTTTTATAAAATCTAATTAAACATAAAATAGAAATCGAACAGATTGCCAAGAATGGCAACATTTATATACATTTTTTACTGAAATTGTTACGTGATATAAAGGACGCATCACATAATAAATATTTGAAAAAAAAACAAAAATTCTAAGAAAACCTACAATACAGAAGACTAATGAAGATTAAATAGTTCCATTATCTTTTCGATTCGATGTCATTAATACGCGCGCATAATACAAAGGAAGGATATTAAAGTAGGCCAGTTTATGCGAGACAAGTCGCAATATACACATGCATGCGAAAAGTACGTATCAGAGAAAGAGCAGCAGGCGTATATGTCCGTATGTGCGTGTGTGGTGACATTGAAAAAATTCCGTTTGCACAGCTTGTCAGGAAGACAAGACTGTCCACACGTGCATCGTCCCGGAAAATGCCCATGGAAGACTGGAATAAAGATGAAATGGTTCTATCATACGTATATACGTATAAAAGAGCAGAGAGTGACTCATTTTATGTGATACGAGTTCAACATTACCTGGAAAACTATTATAATATTAACACGTGATTGCTAGTTGCACAGTTTTCATAAATATTTATATAAATAAATATTTTAAACATATTTATACAGTCTGAATCTATAATCATACTAAATGCAGACTGCATCTTTTATAAAAAGAAGTCTCATATTGATCAAACTTGATTTTTTAACATTTACATAAATAACCAGCAAATTTTTTAAATTTGTTTTTTCTTTTTTTAATCTATTTATAGATACATTTACAGATTTATTAATTAAACAACTGCGTAGTTATATATATAATAATTATTTTTCACCGATCTTAATAACTGTGATTTATAAATTTAGTTTTTACGCAGGTATGTTACCGAATATTATAAATAGAATTTGTATGTGATCATATATTTGATGTGTGTATTGTAAATCATAATATTTTCATTTATAGTCGAGATTTGTTGAATATAGTTGTTTAGAGATGTCGTGTATCATAATTGTGCTTGACATTTGCAACGACATTGAGTTCTTATCTCAGCTCTACCAGCTCGTACATTCTTAATAAACGAAGATAAAAAGAAGTGATAAATGTATCTTTTTAATGAATATTTTATATACAATATATATATACATATATAAAACAACTCGTTAGACTTATTGAGTAAACAGTATAAAAACTTGCGTTTCATATGCATTTAATCCTGAGAGTTGGCAGGTGATGTCTTCCGTATTTGAAGCGGTTATCATCGCTGATGATAAATAGTTTTTATCTAAGCCTCGTGTTCTCTCAGTGCACATAATATATTTAATATTAAGTAGAATTATTCGATTCTCACTCAATTTTATTTTGTATATATAAATCTAATATTAAAAAAATTAAATATTTATTATTAATCACATCTAGATTTCTATCTGATAAGATTAATAATAAATAATATAAAAAATATCTAATTGTAAGAATTTTTACATTTGTTATTCATTACTTTGCATTGTAAATGAAAAATATTTTGTTATACATTTTAAATGATACCCGTCAGGTATAGCTTTTTGAAACAAATATTCGCGTATTTAAATTTTCGACAGAAAATATAGATATGTAAATCGTAAATGGCGCAAGCACATGAGTTGAGTACCTCTTTATTACGAGCGACAATGAATGCGGTTCGTGTCAAGTGTGTCAAATCGCCGCACACACAGGTGCGAATCGTTATAACATGGGAGGCTGTTATTTCTCCGGCCTATGCAAGCAAAGATTAGACACTGGATAGAAACAATAAGCGCATAAGTTATAGTAGTTTCCTCCACAACTGTCAGTGCACATCCAAACGCGTGCTGCGACAGACATTGTTTTGCGACATACGCATGCTTCATTGTTCTAATCTTCCGCATACTTATATATTCTCCGTTTACGTATTATACTATCGCTTTGCAAGAGACGCGTGAATTAAAAAAGTGATTAGCAAGATTTTATTTAGTAAAATTTACGGCATTCGCAAAAATGTTATAACTATAAAATTCTTTTATAAAATAAAAAATTTATAATTATTCAATCTCACTCAATAAAAATTGAGAGATAGTTTTGTGTTTTTATATAGCATGCCTTTAATTCGAAATTGGCGAAATATGTGAAGACTGGTTTAACAAATCTTTTAATTTTTCTTACAAGTTGGGAATTCTCAATTTCGCAAAACAAATTTATGTCAATTTTTTTTCAGTTTTATGTATTTTTTGCAAAAATACTTTAATAATACTTTATAGCAAATGAGCAAAATTTTTATGATGTATTCTTTGATTGCTTCCCGAAGTTATATATGATTTAATTTTTGATTAATAATACGTTAAGAGAACCACCTTTTTAAACTATATTTCTTTTTAAAGTTTCTAGAAATATTTGCCGACTTGATCTTAATTAGAAGAATGCGAAGAAACTCTGATGAAATCGTGCGATTTATTGTTAAGAAAATTATAACATAACAGGATAGAAATGAGCGAAGATAACAGAAGTGTCACTGAAATGCTTTATTCAAGATGGAATCTTGCAAAATCTGGGCAACCTACTACAATTAATGTTCAGTAAGTCAAATATTACATTTATTTTTATATTAAAATTTATAAAAATATTTCTATAAAAACAGAATTAAAATTTTATCACGCGACTAGTAAAATAAACAAGAAATATATATGCATTATTTAACACTTAGATTCTTAGACATTCAAACATGATATATTAGTATATATTTTTATTTAATTGAAAGCGCTTTAATCGACTTTATTTAATTTAATAAATAGGAAAAACGAAGCAATATATATGATGAAACGCTCAGGAAAGACTGAGCGAAGAAGCACTCTATATAATAAAAATCGATTTACCAATTATGATTCTCAAATAAACGCCTTCTCTAACAAAGCCCGCTGCGTGCAAACATTTCAATATAATGACAGGGCATTCTCGGCTAATAATCGCGCAGTTTGCGACTAAACCTGCCCTGGAATTAGCTGTAACTAATCCTTTTATTACACAGATCTTATGTGACTTATATGAATATTGTTCTTCTTTTCATTTCAACATACAGATTTTTGAAGTCTCTCCTGACTAACATAAATTAAAAATTTTTGTCATTTTTCTGAGCAGTTTATAAATAATATTATTATGTATATGTTATTTTCTTTTAATTTTGTGTAAGCGAATTACGTGATATAAATTATCTTGAATTGTTACGCACATTTTACATGCCGAGGTTTTTTCGCTCTAACTTTAATAATACGTAAACGAAATATTTTATATTAATATTTTAATAACAAGAGTGCAAATTCAGTAACATACATTGAAAATTTTATACAAACATAAAATAGTTTTCTTAGTGTAAATTTATAATTACGTTCGTGTGTGTGCTATAAAAGTGATTTTAGAAATTAAACTTTTCAAAAGTTGAAAGATATTTAAAAAATTTTTCTTTAAACGAATTTATTTTAATATCTTTGAAATCATTGAGGATATTGAAAGAGATTAAATAGAAATTACTCTTTATGATAAATTTTTTAAAACGTTCTATAAATTTAATTTAATATTTATTCAAAAAAGAAGCCAATTCCTTGAAATTTCAAATATCAAAATTCTTGAAAATTAAATATTTGGAATAGCGAATTATAAACTTAATTCCCTTTTATAACTATGTATCACGATGACGTCAAACTTTTTTCGAAGACGCATTTATTTCTTCTTTGTGCGCAAGTTTCTTGCTTCGTTGTCGAGCATGAGGCCTTAGTCTTGAGTTTCTACTGGCTGTCCGAAGTGGACATTTATTGAGTCTCCGATGTTTATAAAGCGCCCTCGCCCTGTCATTTCGCTGCACGATAAAGCTTAGAAATAACGAGTTCTGTCTTCTGTCCGTCATGCGATCGCGTAGCGTACACAACGTTAGTCGCAGCGTGCCTTGTGTAAGGTGCGTCTTCGAGGACAAGTGATACAAAATTCCTAATTTGAAAAAAGAAGTTTAAAAAATTTGTGTTGTATGGACTTGACATCTTGAGAATGAAGCATAGTTAAACTAGAGGAGAAGAAGAAGCAGAATTCACATTTGTCTAAATTTGTTGCAATATTGGAAAATTGTTTTACAACAGATCTGAATAAATTATCCGCATCATTTTATTTCAACATTAAATTACATATTCAAACATCAGTTTTAATACTGATTTTTCATTGAAAGATAATAAGAGAGCGCGCTCTTAATCCACTACCAAGAGAGATGGAAAAAAATGTGTTTTATTTTTATTCATGTAATCGATCTGTTTTTTTTTTTTTAATAAATCTTGAATATGGATTATTCGATTTTGCTAGATGATAATATATGTTCAAAGTGTAAGAGCAATTCTTTTCAGATCGCCCAAGAGTAACTTGCGTAGGTTCGATCCTATAAAGACCGACGTGGTTGCACCCGAAAGTAAGTTCGATTTTGGTTTTCTTTTGCATTAATCGTTCGTGATTGATTTCGACACTTGCGGATTATTTGATTAACCATCGTGATTTTTAGTGCTGGCGACTGTTGTACCACCGTCGCAGACTTTCAATCCATCTACTGATAGTTTATATGCATCGATAAGGCCAATAATCATGCTGGCCCAATGTTTCTCCATGCTTCCGATGTACGGTATCAATAAATCGGATGCTTCGTATCTCCGGTAGGTAGAAATAAATATTGCCAGTGCATAATTAAATTATTTAAAGAATACTCATTTCGAAAAGACAGTGAGTAAATTTTCTCGATTTTACCATGGTGGTCTCTCAGTTGTGAACTTTGCGCGTCTCACGTACTCCGAATTCTCGCAGATTTACATGGCGAAGTCCGAAGATTCTCTACACGTTCATTGTTTTATTGGCAGGGCTCTTCATGACGATTTTTAATACTTTACGATTGTTCTCCACAGGGCTAAATTCTACCAAAATGAGTAAGTTATTTTAAAAATGCAAACTTTGATGCACATTCTTCATTTTTATCAAGGTAGAACTAAAAGTGACATTTGTCCCAAATATCAGCGACGTTTGTTTTCTACTTTACATCGTGCGTGACTGGTGTCTTATTCGTACGATTGGCATGGCAATGGCCTTGCTTGGCATTAACTTGGGAGAAACTCGAGCGCGAACTTGCTCCCAGATATCGAGTAATTTCGAAGACCACTCTCGCAACTCGTTTCAAAATCGTAACTGTTGTTGTCATGTTGCTTGCATTAGGTGAGTACTATTCTAATTAACAGAATACGGATTGCGATCATTTTTAATTACCATTGATGTCAAGATAATTTATTTGTTGTAAATAAAATGATATACATTATGTCGTCGAATATCTTATTAATAATTTACTACTCTATACATTTACTATACATATGTATTTATATTTACTCGATGTCAAACGTCAAAAGTAATTAAAATGAATATTCTGTTTATTATATGTATAATTGAATGTTGCATCGAATAATTTTTTAAATAGTGGAACACACCGCTGCTGTGCTTTCTGCATACATCAATGCAATAGAATGTGCCGATTTTCGTGGCGATGCAGATGTCATCGGTACTTATTTTCAATCGCAATTTCCTCAGGTAATATAATAATATATTAAATAGATTACTTGAATTATATTTTAATACTGCATTTTTTAAATACTGCTTTTAATATTGTATTTTATATAATTAAACATATTTTTAACAGCGAATAAAAATTAAAGTTTTTCGATTTTTATTCGCTTATTACACTAAATTGAAAAAGATCCTTTGAAGCTTGCATAAAAAGCGATTATAATATGTGAACTCAATTATTATTGATTATTAATTTTGTATAGGTTTTTTATGTTTTATGTATCAATTTGATGTAGGTCTTCACAAGAATATCCTACAGTCTCTGGAAGGGAATCGTGGTTGAAACTATAAATATTCTTAGTACATTTTCATGGAACTTTGTCGATCTATTTCTTAGTCTTCTTAGCATGGCTCTGGCAGATCAATTCAGGCAACTAAATAGTCGACTGTATTCGGTACGGGGAAAGGTAAAATACACGCGAAATATAATAAACCATATTTTTTTGTGAAAGGAAACAGTTAATAACATTTACATTTTTTTATTAAAATACATATATATGTATATTGTTGCATGCGCGCATGTATATATAATTATTATTAATTTAAATAACATACAATATTATAAATATTTACGAGGAAAATCAAATTGAAATTTATTTACTTTTATTAATAATTCTCGTCGCTATTAACAACTTATTGTTAGTATCATATCGTTGTTAAGGCGATGCCGGACTGGTGGTGGGCTGAAGCAAGGAGTGACTATAATCACTTGGCGACTCTGACACGCAGAGTGGATTCTCACATTTCGACCATCGTGCTTCTCTCCTTTGCTATCGACTTATATTTCATCTGCATCCAATTGCTGTTTTCCTTTAAGTATATATCTAACATACATATATGTACCATTTTAATATTGCTAATATACTTTCACGGTTTTTTTTTTTTTTTTTCATAAAACCCTTTTTGAACGGAAAATTTCTCCTAAAAACTAATCTAAAATTTTTCACTTATGTCTATTTATAATATTATTACCGCTTCTGTGTTACGATATTAATGCAAGATAACTTTAAAAAATGGATTTTACGAGAAAAAATTTCAGATAAGTTTGCATAAATTGTGCATTCATTTTTTAACAGTCCAATACGGGGTCTTGTGCGGAAGATCTATTTTTGCTTCTCCTTCGGCTTTTTACTAGCAAGAACAACGGCGGTATCCTTATACGCGGCTTCTATTCACGATGAATCTCTTTTGCCAGCACCGATTTTGTACAGCGTTTCTGGTTCTAGTTACAGCAGCGAGGTTTGTTACAAAAGAATTATTCGTTATAATTTTAGTTATATCTCATAATTGAGAGCAGTTTTTAAACATTATTTATAAATTTAAAAAATATTTTATTAAATGAAAGTTTTAAAGCTATGTTCAAGAAATATTTAATTAATTACGTGATACATTAGCGAATGAAAGAAAATAGCAGCATGTTATTTAAAAAATAATTTTTTTCATCTTTTTTCTACTCGTATATAAGTGTGCACATTGTCGCGCAGGTCTCGAGATTCTTGACACAAGTAACGACAGATAATATAAGCTTGACAGGAATGAAGTTTTTCTCAGTAACGAGAAGTCTCGTATTAACCGTAAGTGTAATCTCACATCGAGACATGAATATTTATCTATTTTAATTATTATATCTTGTTTTCTTAAAAAATAATTCGAAAATATTTCTATGTAATATAATTTTTGAGACTTAATTAAAAAAAATAAAGTTAAAAAACTTTTTAAATATTATTTATTGAAGCAATTTAGAATATTTTAAATTATAATTGGGTAGCTTTTAATCTATTTCTATTTGATTACGATTAATGATTTAGATTGCTGGAACTATCGTGACTTACGAACTGGTTCTGGTGCAGTTCAATTCCGTCCAGCAAGTGGATATTAATTCGAATGTTTCGATTTGCGAGGTGAGGTAGAGAGCTTTCGAAAAGATTTTTAAGGATTTCAACTACCTATATCTGCTTCTACATCTGCAACTCACGCAAGTCTTGTGAAAAATGCAATAGGCATATTTTATAGAGTCTTGTAAATACAACTCTGTTTTACACTTCACAACTTTTAGACTTCACATTTATTCACTTATTTACACAATTACATATCACACACGTGTTTCACTTATTTATATATTTATTTTCCTCTTCCAGTAGTCTCACGTTTAATAGTCAATTTAATGGAATTTGTGTGTTTCATGAAAAATTTTAAATCTGACTTTTGTTAAATCTTATAATTTTGTATATATATATATATGTAAACAGTTTTTATTATTTGGAAACTATAACATAATTTCAAATATTTATTTTGAATTTGCTGTGATCTGTTTTATTGACAAATTTATTATCACATTAACTATGTATAAATCACATAATTTTATTATATCGCTATCTTGCAAATAAATCTTAAATTGCATTACATCGTTACAATTTAATTCATTAACTTTTTGCCTCCTCTTCTCTGTTACTCTTTTAAATTAATTTTTTTTAATACAATTTATATTCTTTTTAATATTTTATGATTTTCTTATTGCATAACGAAGTTTTATTATTTTATAATTATTATAATCTTTATATACGTATATGTAATATATATATATATGTATAATATTATTCCCGATTCAGCCGACTTTCAGACCAATATTTTTCTCGCTTATTTCTTTACAGGGGGGTTAAAAGAGGAACACGGTGAATTTTGAGATCTCAACCATATTATAAGATACGAATTCCTAAGATTTTTAATTTTCGCAATAACATCGCGTTTGGCTCTATTGGCCGATATAGATATATATTATGTATATAATATTATCTTTATATATACATATATAATATAATATAGTTATTAATATGAACAATAATATCCTTGCTATATTTTAATCTTCTAATTTTTTCCTACTTTTGGCGATTTTTCAACAATTTTACGTAGGATAAATAGATTATGATAAACACATTTTTTTATATAAGTATGTTTTATTTTTAATAATTTTCTGCATTATTTTAATTTGTGTGTTTCATTTTTTGTTGTAGTTTTTCCTAATATAATCTAAGATACAGGAGAAAAACGAATGGGATATTTCATCAATGTTCAATCATGTTATCACAAAAGATACGCAACATCGTTACATATTATTTATATCTAAATGCGCAAATAATATTAATATCATCATTTACAAGAATAGATAGAAAGCACATGTATATGTATTTTGCAATATGTGTTAATATGTTCCATAAATCCAATATAGCAAATTGCCTATATTATTTTCATCTGTTTAATGTTACGTTGTAATAATTTTTTGAACATTGCATATGAACAATAAAAATTGGTATTTAATTTTTTAGATATATCTGTACTCTTATAGAAATTTATCACGAGTAACGCTAATTAATCACTTATTTCGAATACTTAAAGTACTGATATACAGTAATTTAAGTACTCGAAATAAGTGACAAATTGGCATTATTAGTGATAAATTTCTATAAGGGTATAATATTAAAAAATCTTGTACAACAAATATATTGCATGAATTATTTTATTCATGCAATATATTTATATAAAAATTATTCGAGTAAAAATATTTTATTAAAAAATTTTAAGTATATATTTAATTGTTGACTTATCTAAATATGAATAACACAAAAAAGAGAGGCGAATTTTATCCTTTTAAGTAATTTATATATGTATATATACTATATATACTATATATATATATATATATATATAAATATGTGTGTATATGTGTATGTGTGTAAAAAATTTTAATTATGTATGTAATTTTAATTATGTATGTAGTGTATCGTAAAATCTATTAAAATAATGCAAACAAGCAACAAATTTTTTATGTTAGAAAAACCTTATTGTTATTATAATAAATAATGTTAATTTATATAATGATAATGTAGACTCCTCGAATAAATATTCTCTGATTATATATATTTCTGAAAAATAGATATAATTACAGATGAGAGATAATAAAATTACTTGTAGATTATAAAAATTTTTATAACAAGGATATGTAATGCTAAAATATATTTTAGTTAACATGACAATTAGACAATTTTTATATTTTTAATGAATTTTTTAATGAATAAATATTATATATATATTTTAAATTATATATTTTTTTCGATGACAAATTTTACAGTACACTATTATATATATTCATTTATTTATCGAGATATTAAATTGCAGTAGTACGACTTCATATGTTACAATTGCACCAGCCACCTGTAAATAAATTTGATATAAATATTAGTGATTATTATAATTATTATAACGAGATACTTAAAATATTTATTACATAACTAATATAATATAAAATATATGACAACAAAATTTCAGTGTTTTTGTTTATGACATAATTTTTTTTGTTTCTGACGTTAATTTGTATATAGCTAGATCGAATATATGCACATATAAATAAATATATGTACATAGAGAATACTTGAAAATATATACCTTCTTTGTATCTATCTTTTTATAGAATAGAATGTCACAAAATTATAAAATTTTTTTATTAAAGTTACTGTGTGTGCATATTGTATATGAAATACAGCAGAATATGAATATAGCAGAAAAATATAATGTGTTCTTACCGCTAACATGAAATTTCGTGTAATAGAAAAAAAGCGCAATCCTGTAAGTGAGATATCGTCAGTACTGAGTTGATACATCAGCCTTTCTGTCTGTAAAACAAATTATCATAAATGTAGGATTTTAGGTAACAAATTAAAAAATTAATTGTTCCATATAAAAATAAGGCTATTTTGAAGGAATATAGCGAGTATTCTCTCTTATTATTTTTTTAATTATAATTACTTACCTCTATATTATAGGTAGAACTCGAACAAGTATACAATTTCGGTAAAATAATTTTGCTTTGATCGTTGATCCTTGCAGTTAAGAGAGTGACGACCACTGTTCTGCCGATTAGGAATGCAAAAGATCCAAAGAAATAAATATCATTTATGATGCCCTCAGCTGGCTGGCTGTACAAATCAAGTAAATAAATTCAGAAATTGATGTTTGCATTTTATATAGCAATGTATCAATTTTATTTATCATATTGTATCAATTTTATTTATTATTAAATGAAATAATTCAAAAATTATATTATTATCTCAATTATTAATTATATTGTTGCAACTGATAAATAAATGTGAAAAACAAATTGATTTTTTTCACAAATTTATATCTCCATAAACAATGTTTCTCGTTGTTATGATTTTTTAAATCTGAATTACAAAGGATCAAATATAATTCTTGCAAAAGTAAAAATGCATATATATATTAATGGTGTCAATAGTTGGGTTTTATGTGGCTCTTAATTGATAATAATTTTTACTTTTTCTTTTATCATATAGCATACTTACGACAATCCATTGAGTAGTTGCAAACAGATGAAATAAAGATTGTTCGCAAATGATAAAAGAATTATAGGTGAGATATTGTTGTCCACCTTCTTCACTATGCAACTAAGAGCAGCATAATCTTCGCGAACTCCACACCAGTCTATTATCCCATGCTTCAATATAGAAGTTGTTACTTGCTTGTTCAATATCTTGTATCTTTCAGCTAAGCCGGTAGCTACCTGAGGACTCCGATCAAAAGATTGAATTAGAAGAAGTAAAATTGAAACTAATAAAATAGATAAAATGAATATAAAATCGAAAGTTAAAAAATATTTTCTAATATCAATTAAAATTTTATTACCAACATGATGAAAACGTCAGTAAAGTTCCATGTAAAAGTTGCCAATTTGCTGATGATAAAAATAAAAATTCCGAGTGCAAGATTGTAACTTACTGAAAATAAAAATTAATTTAATATTTCTTAAGTTGTCGAAGTTTTTCTAATCTAAAAGAGAAGAAAGATAAAAACATCAATTTTAGAATAAATTTTTGCAAAAAAAAAAAATATAAATTGCAACTATTTTATTTTGCAGAAGTCATTTAAACAGAATCGTCATTAAAGAAAAATAAATTTCACGATCTAATATTTTTTGTGTGCGGATTAAATATTTTAGATTCATTATTAAATATATATATATATTTCTTATTTCCGCGGTTCGAATAATTAAATAATTTTTTGTGAATGCTTTTAAATTAATAATAATTAATAGATTATAATATATATAAATTCATATAATACAACGCTTACATGTCTCCAAAATAAACGCGTGTGAATGTACGCAATATATTTCTAAAAAATGTTTGAATGTCGAATTCTTCGAAGTGCCTTTCCAATCAAATGTCTTTGTGTTTATTGCTATACTCAGGATATGTTCACCAAGAGCCATAAGTAGAATAGAAGCAGTTATCAAATTAAATCTCCAACGAAGTTTCGGTCGTTCCACTTTATTACTGCAAAACCAAAAGATTTTGATACAAATACACTGTACTATCAAATTTTGTAAAGCAATACTAAATTTAATCAATTAAAAAACAATCTTATTTTTATAATTTTAAGAAGAAGTATAATCGATTCTTATTCAAATTCTTCGAAAATAGGAATAATTTTGCAGTAGTTTCTAAATATTTACACCGAAGTAAAGAATGCAAGTGATAATATCTTGATGATGTCAGACTTTTAATGCTACAGACGGCTATGATGAGTCATATATTTCCATATTATTATATACTATTTATGGCAATAAAAATTGAATTATTACTAAGGCAAAATAATTGAAATAGTATATATATTATAACTGGCTTCAAAATTATTTGCAACTTGCTTTAAAGTTATTTGTTTCAGAATCAAAAAGATTCAAACTACGATATACTTTATTACGATTGTTCTCGTAACATTTGCTTGTCATCGCGTATGAATGTATGCAAATCCATGATTGCAATCTTTCGTTGATTGTCAAGTCTATGCAATTTTACATGCAAACATAAAGTACATAAACTACTTGTATCATCGATCAGTTAATTGTGTTAATAATCTTTTCTTGAAAAATATATATTAATATTTATAAACTAATATCTATGGACCTGTCTATAAATTGTTCCATAGCTCTCCAATCGCGTTGAAGAATTACCCAACGCGGTGATAGCCAGAAAAATAGTATCAAGCCCAGTACGCTGTTCCCATAGAATATCGCGCCTGCCGTTGCAGATGCTATTCCTCCTAAAATCCAATTGAATATTTAAGAATTTAGAGTTTGCGGAAAAAGATTATGGATCGAATTCTCAAAAATACAAAATAAAAAATATCAATTTACTTTTTATTATCTATTTTTTTATCCGTATAGTTTATTTTCTTATTTCTAGAGACGGATCTGTTGAATTTCAATTAATTTTAATTAATGTTTATAGAAATTATCCTTATACTTCATCTATTCTCGTTTTAATGTGTATGTAATGAACGTATGTCATTTTCTGGATAAGATAGATGCGGCATATGCACACACAAAGCATATATGAAGGACTTATCTCCGTGTACCTTGCATTTCAAAAGTTGAGGAGTTTAGCGTCCTTATCATGTGAATAATCGACAATATCGCCATAAAGAGTACCATGGAAGTTATAGAAAAAGCATAGAAAGTACGAAACGAAAAAATTGCAAACTTTAACTTTAAAGGGGTCGATGCGCGTACTCCTGAGACCGGCAAAACTCCGAATAATTGGGCAAACCCTAAAATAGGCCCTATTGCACATTGGAAGCTCTGTAGATCCTGCAAAAGAATTTGCTCTGCCAATATTGTTTTACTTTTTTTATGTAAAGTATGGATTTAATATATTTTATATAATGATAATGTAAATATATTAGCCGCTATACACATATACACACATCTAAGAAATGATTTGGTCTTTGAAATTTTTTTTTAGATCATCGTTGATAATGATCTTTTTCTTAAAGTTTTGTTTGATTTTATTTCCTAAAAGTCTTTATATTTTTTTATAGATATATACCTTCTCTTTTTTTTCTAGAGCACGAGCATATATTTCATAATTAATGTATAAGACAAGCAGTGAAGCTTCTTAATACTTACATTACTGTTCACAGATACAGTTGGAGGAATTTCATTGATTAAACCACTGTGAAGAAAAGGTCGCACTCTCGGCGGACCCGGAGGATACGATCCCGTTAATTGAGTATCCACCCTTTTTGTGTTGTCTTTTCTTTGACGCATTAAGAATGGTAAGTACTTATGGAAATTTGCGCTATGTTTCTTAGAATTCGCAGTGAATAATCGTTTTGTTTTCAACATCATGCCGTAACTTTCCTCGTTGATCGTTTAAGGAAACAACCATTCCGTTGAGAAATTCCTGATAGATAATTGAATCAATTATTTCATCAAGATAAATACATTAAGAAAACATATTTAAAAATTCATCGCTTTCGCAAAAAATCTTCATTAAAAGAAATATCATTTTATTAAGTTTCTACAAAAATTGATTAATTAAATGATCGTGCGTTAAACATTAATTTGCATTTTGCGGAATTAATTAAACTTTTACAATTAGAGAATTGTTGATTATACATCTATGACATAATGTGAGTTATTCTGCAAACTGCAAAAATTTGACTGAAACATACGATTATTCCTCGTATGCATGCAATATGGTAATATTTAATTTTAAATGATTAATTTAAGTAATTGCTCATCTCATTACACACACACGCACAAACATACGCATACACGCATATCTCGCATTAACTTTATATATTTTTTTTTAATGCTGTCAAGTAGAAATTAGCATGAGAATGTGTCTAAGTTCAATATGCATAGTCCGTTAATATAAAATTCGTACATATATTAGAGAACTAATGACAAATAACATACTACGAAAATTACATAAATAATTTTAAAAGTCGTAATAAATTTCAAAGAGTATCTCAATTATTTTTTCGATTTATTTTATATTCTGTTATGAAATATTTATGCCTTTTTTTTTACACGTATCCTATGTATCCATTTACAGTAAACATGATACATGTGTGACTGGATCAATTAATTATCGTCATGTTTCAACAGATGCGAAAATGGTATCACATCTCACCGCAGGAAAGGGTTGGTCGTTTGTTTAGCGTAGGTATAAACTTAATATGTTGACGAAGGTAGTCGATTCACTTGTCAAGTGCAACGTCTCACTTCACGTTTATTTTCTCAAATAACTTTAATCAAACGTTATTAAGTGGTTATCCCGATGCAATTTCCGAGTGCGATCTTATGTTGCACATAAACTTCCATTATAAGATTCTCTAAGACGTTATGAAATGGCACGTGCGTATACACCCGTAAAAATTAAAAAGTAAAAATTGCTGGTATCTCATAGTAAGTACGTTTCCGTTAAATCATTTAAAATATTTTATTTATTAATACCTTTGCGAGAATAAGTTTATATATAATCAATTATAAATATATATATAATTACTTTTCTCTGTCTATATCTATCTGTCTGACCGTAATTTATTTTATAGGACCGCGTGTCGCGCGGACTGAAACGCTAATATAAAATATGTTAACATATTTTTGCTTTGTTTTCTTTGTTTTGTATAATCCTTTTCTGTATATACAAAAAAAATTGTGCAAACTCGAAATTTACACATTGCTTCCTTACTATTTTATCCTGATTATTAAGATGTTTTATTAATTATCATACATGAAGCTTAACTTGCTTTGTCACTATTTTATTTCGCTCGTTAATATGATTTTTCAATTATGGCGAATTAAAATGGTGAGGAAGCAATGTACAAGTTAAATTTCTTCTATAAGAAAATCATAATTGAAAAATTATTTTAATAAGTGAAATAGACAGAATGCAATGTGCAAATTCTAATTTGCACAATTTTTTCGCAAAATATTTTTTACGATGTTCCATATGTGTGTGTATGTCTGTTTATTTTTTTATTATTTTCTAAATTATTTAGAATAAAAATATTTAGTCCAATATGTCAAAATCCACGGAAGTTAAAATTATGTCAACAATTCTGTATATACAGAAAATATATATATAATCATATATAATCATATACATATATTTTATATATAAGGTATATTTTTATTATTATATATGAGCAATTTGTGTGTGTTATTCTTATTTCTTTAAATAATATAATACGGTCCTTCTTTTTTAAAATTTTTTTATTAAAGAAATCAATGAATAATAAAACTAAGAACCCCACTAAAGAAATAAATGTAAGAAATTTATATATTATACATTAACATTTCTAATTCTTTTGTTTTTATGTCAATAATACATATATATATGCGTATTGTTATTGCACACGTACCGTGTCGTGGATATCAGATCTTGTTCAAATAAATTTTACATAACTCATGTTTTTGTTGAATTTACATATCAACCGACTTCTAACAGTTGATTGTTATCAATCGTTTATTGTTAATCTCAGTTCAACATCGACGTCAATTATATATTGATTTGATAATAAAATTGTTTTTCATATTACATTAGCGTTGACACGTTTTAGATTAATACGTAAACGCGCTAAAATGTTTAAATGTTTCAATTAATTTAAATAATTAAAAATTTATTTAATATGTAAAAGCGAGCTAGATGTCACATAGTTATATAAAGCAAGTATAATTTCACATTAAATATACACGTATTTTTCTAAGTACTCTATATACTTAAGAGATGAAAATAAATTTATGAATTATACATTATTCACACACATCATTCACACATCATACACAAATATATTTAAAACTATATTATTATTATTTCTTTACAATAAAAAAAACAATATTAAAAAATTCTGATTATGATGTCGAAATTTATGCATAAGGATATTGCGAAATTATTGCGTAAGAATAACGCAGTTATGAAACATTTTAAAATTAAAAATATAAATATTTTTATGTATAATATAATGTATAAATATAATGTATAAATTATGTGTAATATACTAAATTTGTTTTAAACAATGCCTTTTAATTATCTGTAATACTTAGTACATGCAAAATGTTTCATGACTCTTAAATCTTTCAATGGCGTTCCAGATTAATAAGAGAAAAGAATTTTCGATAATCTTAATCAATCGGAAATATAAGGAATGAAAATAGTTTCTACATGTAAATGTGCGTAAGGATTTCGAATTTTTTTATCCCTTAATTATTCCAGAATCTACATTTAAGATTCTCTGAAATAAATATTTTCAAAATATTATATTTTGCAATGATTGTACCCACATGAAATCCAGTTTTTCGTAGCTGACTTTTGTAAGCGTGATTTTTTTTCAACACAAATAGAGACGTTGAGAAATAGAATAATTTCGCTGATGATCTAGGATAAACCCACCACCCGAGTATAGTTACGAACGTGCACTGGCGAGCAAAGACCAACTTGAATTAAGAGCGACTATGCGAAGGTGCGCGACGCATGTGTCCGATCAGATATACGGCTATACCACTTACAACTCAAGCGCGGAGCTTCGCTGAAAATACAATGCGCGTGTACATCATTCGTATCGATTGCGGTATTTATCTTTCTTTTTATGTAAATTACAAGTGATTATCTGTCTCGAGTTTCTTTGAATAACCGGATTGCGGAATTGATCGTTTCGGTGCATCAGATTGATCCTTATATATCTAAAGATTTAAAATTTAAAATCCAAAGAAAACAAGTATACATAGAATTTTAAATGTCAACATTAATTTCTCTATAAATAATTCTTACATTTTTTCTTTTACTTTTTACTTAATTATTTTTATTTTTCTTTTTAAATCTTTTTATTTTCAAAGATATTTTTCCTTACTATTTTTCTTAAGCAATATAAAGACGAAAATTAAAGACGAAAGATTTAGTTTATAAATCGAATAAATAAACTAATTAATAATAGGCAACGTTTATTAGCGCAAATTTTATACCATTTATTTATTTTTATTTACTAAAAATTGACTTAAAGATTGACATGATTTGATTTTTGTTTTTTAGCATTATTTTATAAAATAAATATATTAAGAATATTTTGATAAAGGAATAAATTCATATGTCAAGTTGGATATGACAGCTGAATTTTGAAGATTGTGCCAATTTTACGTGTTATTATATCTTGCATTACAATTGCTATATCAGATTTGTCTAAACACTTTACAATCTTTAGATCAGTATGGTATATTTGCGTTTTTTGATGAGATCCGCAAGATAAGCGGTTGTATGAAAGCGAGTTAAGTGTTAGGATTGATAAAATATTCAAGGATGCGACATGTCCGCAAACAGTTATATGAAATGGACTAATAAATGAGATATGAGTAATGAAGAAAAACAACGATTTGTTTTTCTTCAGATCTGTATACATGTAGCGCGTATATATCTTATAAATCGATTTTTTTATGAAAAACATACGTATGCGTGATGTAAAATCGAATAATTGAAGTCAATATACGTCACTATTCTTGAAATAAAATTTATATACAAGCTATATCATCAATGATCAGAGATTAATAAAACTGTAATGTAATTTATACACTCTAGTCAATTAATACATTATTATAACTTCTCTTATTTTTTTTAATTAATTCATCATATAATTAAATTATTCAATTTTTTAATTATACATTATTTATATTATATCTTTTGAATATATGTTATTTTTAAAGTGTAAAAGTTTTTGATACACATAAAATGCTAAGTAATTTTTATATTTTTAAATTTCATTTGCATACACACGTGTATATTATTTACACTACATTAATATTCACATAATAAAAGTCTGATATTGTTTGATGTACATTAGTATTTCTACCACATAGCACGTTGTACTCCAGCCATTTTATTATAGTCGACCAAGTCACGAAAGATGAATCGCGATAATCTCCATCGATGCACTGTACCTCGACCTCGAGAAGTTACTACGCATCTTGGGGTCAATTGTCTCAGAGCAGTCTGTCTGGGAATCGTTTCATCTATTTGCGTGCCAGCAAGTTGCTAGAAATATTATTTTATGCAGGCAATATTATATAATATAAATTATGCAAGCAATATACATTATATTGTTCTAAATAATAAAGCATTAATATATCATATAAAAATAATATATTCAATAATAAAATCATATATAAATTATGTACTTTGCAACTCACTGAAGGGTTGAAATTATGAATGTATGAAAAAAATGGAAAATCGTCACTTACTATTATCTCTTTTGGCAAGATATCATTTCGTTTTAAGGCAACTAATCGCAATCGCTCTTCAGCATATTGTTTTGCCCATCTCCTACGCTTTCTGTCACGTAACTGCCAGCAGCCAACAAAGTTGCGTACTTGTTGAAACTGCAAAAAAATACATGTGCAATTAGAAATTGAGAATACCTATATAATTTATCAGCACAATTGCATTGATATAGTATATAGTATCGAGACGAAATTTATAGATGAGTTGTCGTACTTACGCTATATCCTAATGGATTAAGATTTTTTGGTAAAATATTGCAGATAGCTGAAATGCATCCTTTCAACCCTGCCATGTTTATTAAATCAGCTGTTTCTGTTACATGTGATTAAAAATATGTTAAATATAGATTATAAAATTATAAAATAAAATAGTATATCGCTTAGTTACCAAAAATTTCTTGAATTACCTCTATTGCCTTATAATCTCGTTATTATTATTATTTTTTTTTAATATATTTGAGCTGCAAAATCAGAGAAATCTATGATACACCATATATTATAGATTTTCTAGATAAAGTACTAGCACTGACCAGCAGTACATTTACGAACTAGCTTTAAAGCGACATCTGTGAATTTTTCTAGAAAATGTTTCACTTGAATTCCCTATAGTAATAACAGGGATATTTAAAATTTCTCTGTTTGTAGATTCTATTGTGGAATGTATATTTTACGCTTTGCCTGGCTTTGCCCTTAGCCCTTTTTTTTATTTATTGCATGTGTGAGCTACGTTTTGTAGATGTGAATAATTATTCTTTGTTTCGGCTTGCATTAACGTAATTAAAGTAACGAAAAACGTCTTATTCACACATTTATAACAAAGTCAGTTGCATATAAATATAAATTCAGACACTATGAAGGCGGCATATTTGATTGTTTTTATCATATTTATTAGTAAGTATATGCTGAAATTTTTTCATTAGAACTTTTTTAAATAATTTTTGAAAAGTCGCTTTTTACGCACATGATGGAATTTTGGAAATGGCTCCCTTTCCACGTACCAATCACACAAAATATCTTAGCCAACATTTGCGCGTCATAAATCGGCCGAGTGTGCGGTTTGGCGCACAGGCGAAGCCGAGTGTGACAAACTTTCGCACTCGGCCGATTTACGATCCCCAGCACTTGTTAGCTAATATACCACTTATTAATAAAATAAATATTTTTATATTTGGAGCTCCTATACTAAAAATAGAGATATATTAGAAATACTATATTTCTGCTTTTTTTTATTGCGATTATATTAATTGTAATTGTTATCTCTCTTGTTCAGCATTATTACTATATATAAACATAAAAAAAAAATCATTTATGATGGAAACCCATCATAAATCATTTTTAATATTTAATGATTAAATGATATAAATGATTGTATGTGCAGCAACCATCTCCATAGCTGAAAGTGGAGTACACTCATATGGCTCGAAGCAAAATTACAAGGCAAATTATCAGTATAGCAAGAATTATGATAGCGCACCACCCAAATATTATAATAATCAGAAATTAGCAGACACAGCATCAATGAATGCATCAAATTCATCTCTAGTTCGAAAAGTTGGTGTTTCAGCTTGGGGAATAATTGCGATAATTTTAGGTATAATTATACTCAGTACTATAACATATTATGCATTTATGCTATATCCATACATATGTAAGAGAGATCAGATCACTTATGACATGGAGCAGTTGACTGAAGTTAATTCTGTATGTACTGTTAGCGACAATACTAACAACATGCCACTCTATCATCGTTCAATCGATGTTTTAAATAATGTATCAAACAATATAGATAAGAGCATAAATTGATAAGAGAATGACTGAAAAACAAATTTACATGTTTATTTTATAAGTACATAAGTGAGTACACATTCACTTAGGATATCAGTATTTTTATATGAGTTTAACAATAATTAAGTTTTATACGAACTTAATGGCAGTTTTATGATCTCAGAGTAGAAAAATATTAAACATTGAGATTGTTTTTGTACTACCTTTTACATATAATAATAGAATAAATTAATTTTTATAAATTGTACAAATGCATTTACAGTAATTAATATAGAAAGATTAGAACAATTTTATAAGCTATTGCGAAAGATCAGACTAAATTATACAACTAAAAAAATAATTATAAACAGAATGTTAAATACATTAACATTTGTCAAAAATGATTTTCTTAAATATGAATTATTTTGTAGAAATAATATATACAATGTATATCAATTTTGGTTTGTAATGGAAGACTATAGAATATGCTTCAATTAGGTGATATTACAAAATGCAAAAAAGACTAACATGTATTATAATAACAGACTGAACTTTGCAATTTTTAAATTTGGTCCCATTATAGGGAGAATCAATTAATACTCCTGCGAGTTAAGAAGTTTTTCTTAAGCTATCAGTATATATTAAGCTCGTAAAAAAGACTTATAGAAACAGTATACATGTAAATGTATGTATATTTATTACAAATAGGAAACTATATATACGACTTTACATATAAACTATGTGTATTTTAAATAACCTACTTTTTATAAAAATAAGCAAGTTAAATGCATCATAACACAAGATATACGTTCTTTGAATTTCTTTTTCTCTATCCAAATATGTAGAAAATAATAAAAGTATAAGAATTATATGCATATGTTTATGCCGAGTCTAGACTAGTTTAAATTTCTTAAAGCAACTTAGTAAAAAAAAAATACTATTGAAATTGGCTAAAATTGGCTTTTAGATGGAAGAGTTAATTAAACGTGTTTTTTTATAAAAATTACACCTGAGAATTGAGGTTTTTCTTAGACAGAGAGTTACAACTATATATATACATATATATACGTATGTGTATATATTATATATATATATATATATATGTTATAAGTTTAGTAAAAAGTCCAAATAATAGAATTATTTCTTATCATTGTACCATAAATTTTATCACGAAATTATTGAATTGAATGTAAAATCTTACAAGTACAAATGTTAAGTCTGATACAAAATAAATTTTCCGAGCGAATGAAGTTATATTGCGTTTACGATTAATGCTTCTAATCAGTTTCTTATAGAAACAATGTACTTCCACACATGGTAAATTCTAAGAATTTAACCACTTGTATTTCAAAATTATAGCTCATCTTTCTCATCTAAATCAATATCGCTAAGATCGATGTCTTCTTCTTGTGGAGGTTCAGCATCTTTGCCATCCCAAGCAGTTGTTTTGATAATAACAGGCAATTGAGCACCTTTCAAAGTTGCAGTACCACCTCTACCATAACTCAAATCTCGTAGAAATTCATTTATTCCATCATATGAAAAACTGCCCTTCAGCAAGGAATATTTCATCTTCTTGATATTAACAGCTGCTAATGCAGGATAACCGAAACCACCAATCTCTAATGCATCTTCAATGTTTGGTTGAGCATTAGCTTCGGACCAAACCCATCTAAGAGAAAAATAATGTAATTTTGTAAAAATTATTTATTATACAAATTGGAGATAAAAAGATAAAGTATAATGTTCTGCTATAATTCTTCCAAAATTAAAAATTTAGAAAATTACATGTCAAAATTCATGTTAAAAGTAATTACTATATTTTAGTCTCTATTTACGTTTAAACTAATTTAATATTTTATTAATTGATTTTATTTGTTTAGTATGATAAAATAGCATTTACAATGTAAAAATAAAAAAAAATCAATTTTATAATTATATTCAAGTATTTTATAATTATATTCAATAATATTCAAGTGAAATATTAAGTTCAAACTTTTACATTATTTTAAAGTTAATGATTATGAATTTGCTATACACACCCCCACATCTTCTTCTTATATTTCTCCCCAAGACTATGTAGAATCTTCAAGTATCCGTTTCTACAATCAGACTGACAGTCTAGGATATGTGGTAAAACAGAGACCACGCAGATTGGTTTGTCTTCGCAAGCATTCTTCAAACTTCGCTCAGACGTAATTTGAATCACTTCTGGCGCCGGAATGTTTTCCGCTAGTTTCTCGAGCGCCCAATTAACGATATCACCGCTCGTACGACCGCCGTCATATTCTTGTACCGAATCGACGTCTTTCTTACCTGGTGTAAAATATTTGATGGTGGGATAGCCTTTGATTTCATATTTACTAGCCTGCAATATTCATGTTGGAAAATTATATTTATATTAATGATTTACATGAATGTGTGTGAATATGTAATAAAAGCATGTATCTTACTTTTAATGTGTTTACAGTTGCGTCCAATGCGCCTAATTTAACTTTGCCCTTTAATTCACTAGCTGCTGCTGCCCACTCAGGTGCCAAGTTTTTACAGTGGCCGCACCAAGGAGCATAAAATTCAACCAGCCACATATCATCGGAATTCAAAACAGTTTTGTCAAAGTTTTCATCTGTCAATTCTATTACATCCTTGGAATCTTTACTCTGCATAAATAAATATTCTGATTAATATTATTTATCAATTTACATGTCATCACAGAAAGTTATATTTATCTATTTTTATACATATATATATATATATATATATATATATATTCCATCGTCTTTTCGGTCTTTGTAAATATCTGAAGCTAATTACAGCTAATTTTAGCTTACCTTGGACTCACTTTCTGCTTTCTTGCCACCTAAAGTTCTTCGAGCTTTTTGACCAATGGTATTTAATGCAGCATCAACAATGCCAGCCGCAGTTCTTGGGCCATTATAATCTTCAGGTTTGCTGTCAAGTCCGAAGATCTTAATTGTTGGAAAACCACGAATGCCATATTTACTTCCAAGGGACTTGTGTTCATCAGCATTTACCGCACCAACTTTTACAATACCCTGTTAGATATATGTACAGATTTAAAAAGTCAATATATATTTAAAAAAACAATAATAAAGTATGACGGGTCACCTTCAATGCAGTAGCTGCTTTGTCATATTCTGGTGTCAACTGTTGGCAATGTCCACACCATGGTGCGTAGAACTCAACCACCCAAATATGATCACTATTTAAGACTAAATTGTCAAAATTATTTGGCCTAAGATCAATGACAGCTGAATTAGATGCGTACATGCAATTAGCTCCAGTAACCAGCAGCAGAAAACCTATAATGAAAAAGAAATGCAGATGTATTATAAATTATAACGTGAAAATTTTCACATAAACACTCTGAATTACATATAAGGACTAAAATGCAGAAACTATAGAACTTGAACAAAACCAGACTTAACAAACGAGACACTTGTTGCGGTGTCACTCATACAGAAGCTCGGTGATAACTCGTCAAATTTCACTGATTGCAATGTCAAAAGTCATCGCAGAGCGGCCGGCATCATCAAGCCGGCGAATTAATAAGAAGTGCACGTTTGTCGCTCACCTAAGAATCCTAACATTTTGCTGTAGATTTCACAAACGACTCGAGACATCGTTGACAGTTCACCTGTGCCGTTCAACAGTGAAACTCACGATTGCGCGAATGTGTTATATCGCCTCCATATAAAGAGTTCTGACGTTTTCCAGATGCGCTGGCGGTATCACAGCCGATACCCGATGTTTCGTGGATCATTCTGATTGGCTCGTCGGCCATCGATAGCAATCGATAGTGGTCGATTCGAGAATCGCAATATTCCCTGGTCGATGGATTGAAGTCCGCCATAGTGAATCCGCCGTAGAAATCCCGTCAAAAAGTGCGCGTTGCTCCGATATTTTCGCGAGATTTTGGCGTAAAAGTGCATCCTGCCGTGCAAACTTATCAAAATTATCGAAAGTACTGCGATAATAGTCTGTCAGAATATAAACGTTGTGTATACTTTCACGATTTATATAAGATTTCCGTAAAGATATAACATATTATTCGTCTTTGGACGCCCGGAATCTTCAAGAGCTTGCAAAAATGCATCAAAAATATGACATTATCGCCAGGTAATTATGCACATGCATATATCTTTAATTGCCTATCCATCTGCATATATGTATGTATATAAATCTATCCGTAAATACACACACACGCAGAAAGAAAGAGAGAAAAAGAGAGCTCGGTATGGTCGTTTCGAGAATCGCAATATTGCATATCGATAGGTTGAAATCCGCCATATTGAATCCGCCGTAGAAATCCCGCCAAAAAGTGCGCGTCGCGCCGATTCGTGATTCAAGTCGCTCCGGCATTTTCGCGATATTTTTGAGTAACAATGCGTTCTGCCGTGCAAAACTATCAAAATGATCGAAACTGCTCTATAATAGAGTGTGATCGCATAAACATTGCGTGTAGTTTCGTGATTTTATACGGGATTTGGTAAAGATAAAATTCATCGTCTTTGTACGGGTCTCTTTGTGTCGATTTGATCTCCATATATTTCATCAAAGTGCATCAAAAATGTGACAATTATTGCCAGGTACATAAATGCACATATATATATTTAATATATATCTATCTATTTCTCCCTTCCTCTTTCTCTCTCTCTCTCCCTTCCCCTTTCTTGCTTCTATATATATATATATATATATATATATATATATATTTATTATTCTATAATTAGATGTTTAATTACATTTTACTATTAATATATTGCGTCAATTTTATACTTTGCGTAATATTACACTTGTAATTCATAGTGGAAGATAAATAAGTACTTTTCGTCCTATCGCTTTCAAATAAAAAACAAAAAAAATAATAAGATAATGCAGAAGTACATTTTTGTATGCTGATAAGAAACTTGTGTCTGTGTCTTACGATAAAATAAGAAATGTGATTTACTAATATAAGAAAAGTTTAATATGTAATAACTTTTATATTGACTTATTTATTAAAAGTATAATGAGAGAGAGATATTATTCATTGGAAAAATTAAATTTAATAATATTTGTTTACACTTATTGTATTTTCTGCAAAAAAGAAAAATGTTTAAAATATAATAATAGATATATACATATATATACAATTATAAAAAAATAAATACAATATATAAAATAAATATAAAATATTATTACGTTAAAAAAGATTTTCATTTTATCTTTATTTTATCTTTATTTAAAAAAATAAGTATTATGATTTTTTATATTTAGCAGGAGTTATGAAACATGAAAGCTTAAATAACACATTACATTGGTTTATGTATGATTTCTCAATATGTTTCTGCAATATACAATCGAATAAACTTATATATACATAAAATTAGACGATATTTCAAAGATCACAATATAGCATAAAAAATTTATGCTAAATAAAAAAAATTACAACATTATAACATGCCTAATTACACCGTGTTTATTGTTTACAAATTTATGTGTTTTATTTGTAAAATAAAATCAATTTAATTATTCCATTTGTGCCATATAACATATTTATTTCATGTATACATATTAGCGTACTTTTACATCTGTTTTATATCTATACGATATATATTTTTTGCGATTAAAAAATGCATGTAATTCTAGTAGTCTATGTCAATGTAAGTAGAAAACTTTTAACGCCATATAATAAAATGTTGATAAAAAATTTATTAACAGTTATTCAAAACTGCGCAATTGGATGATAACTTTACAAATAAAAAGCAATATTAATTAGCAGAGAGGCATTTTTATTGACTTTACAACTATTGAAATTAATTGTTATCAGTAACACTAAAATTTTAGACTCTAAAATTTTGCAATTAGACATACTGCCTAATCCATATAGATAACTTTTATTATTAATAATTTAATTTTTGCCATTTTATACAAGTATTTAATTTATAAAATTTATATCACTGTAGCAAAATGCAAACGCTTTAATTGAAGAACTTACTTCCAAATTGTGATCTTATATTTATATCTTTAAATAAAAATAGATAATTATACGCATTATAAAAAACTTATAAATATATAATTTTTATGTATTACAAATGATGATATATTTAAGACAATTTGGAAATACTCTCCAATTTCAACAGTCAATTGAACCATCTTTTAAATCACATTTGAGTATCGACCTGTATTGAACGAAAATTTCTAAATCGAATAAATCGCGTTCTGACGCAAGAAAATATATGCGTGCACTGAAAAAAAATGTTAACTTGACTAAACCTTTCAACTAAATATTATTTTATTAATTGAACATATAAAAATATTTAAATTAAATGTAACCTATTAAATCTAACAAAACGTATATTTGATTTAAATACTAATATATGTTCAATTAACAAAATAGTAATTTAGTTGAAAGGTTTAGTTAACAAATTTTTTTTTCAGTGTGTAAATCCACGAAGAGGGGAGAAATAGTGTACCTAGACAGTGACTATGATTAATTTATTAGAAAGCACAAAATTGATTCGCGTAGGATTTAGGCTGGGAAGATCATTGTAATCTTGCTAGCGTCTCGGTTTTGACGCTCGTAAGTGCGCTGGTTTATTATGAAGCATAGTTTCGCATTTGGGAATGTGTCGTTCTGCTGCAGCCTGATTAAACTTTCTGTTGCAGTGCGGACATTGGATGTAATCGCTGGTATCGCTGGGTGGAGGTGGTGGAAAGTCGCTTGAGTTTCCACCTGCTGCCACATGTGCTTGAAATTGCTTAGCGGAACGAATCGTGTTGATGAAATCCTCGTGTTTGCGCCGCCAATCGGATTTCACCTGTGGTTTCTTCGTCTGGAACAACGTGAGTACATGATCATTGTTTTTTTTTTTTCGTTTTTGATACCTCCAGCCTTTGATATACCTTTGACGCAAAGCGTCAATTATGACGATTTGTCTAACGCTTATTTTATGCGTCAATATTTAGAAATATTTTTTATCGAATTCAATAAAATTTTATTTATAAACTCTTATTAATTTTCGATGATATTTATTGACTGAGATAAAAGATTAATGCGACGCATTGATCACTATAGTTTAAAATTTTAAAGAATCGATACATCGTTCTCTTTGCTTATATCGATTATCAAATGATTCAAAATGTCAATAAAATTAGGAATTGAAAAAAATGGTAAGATATGAAATGAAAATCTATGAATAAAAAACTTACCTCTTGTTTCTTAATTCCTTTCTTGGCAAAAGGTTCGAGTTCAGTTCCTTTGATTCGGGATGTCATTGCATCAAACTTCTTCCTCTTCATATTCGCTACTTTCACACAGATTTTTTCATGGTAGCCGATTCGATCATCAGCGAAAGTACGTCCACATGTTTTACAAGCTACCAAATTATCACTGTAATGATGCATACATATATAAATATATTTTTATTAGAAAATATGTATAAAATTCTGAACGAGAATTAAAATTTTTTTTCTAACATCTTGATTTATGCATGCGCTCGCGCATATAGTAATTTATTATGAAATTTATGCACGTACAATAAATTAATCTGCGGAGATATTCTTTAGCTTTCTTTTATATATATATATATATATATATTTTGAAGACTTACGCGGAATTTCCGTTAGATCTTGCTGATCCTCTGGCTTGCGGTCCACCGGAAGTGGGTGCCTTAGCTCTTGTTGTCATTTTACTTTTCGAGCTAGAAACTTGACCATGAGTTAAGCTAGCACTGGAATTTGATGACACCGACGAGCTTGGTCGATCTGTGCTGGAAACTGTTTGTTGCTTCTAGATAAAGAAATAAATTACGAATATAAATTAAATACACAGATAAATGCATACAATTATATTTCTATAAATTATGTTTGCACTTAAATGCATTTTTTATTCATAAATTTCTAAAAATTTTTTGACGGTGAAATAAAAATTTGGATTACTAAGGTTATCAGGTATAATTATACTTTGTATAACGTAATTTATAAGCTGTCTTCATCAATTCTCTTTCGAAGTAATGCTGTAACTAACATTGGGATTTTTTCAATTTTTATTTTGACAGATTATATTTCCAAATTGATTCTGATTGCAATTGTTTGCGAAATAAATTACACGGCCGTGAAAAGACTGTAGCAATATAATTCAGTTTTACGTCAAATACCTGGCTGGCATTCACTGCTGATTGATTTTTTGTACATGCACAATACGACTTTCAATTTGGAAATGGGGCGGAAAATCCATGCACGATTAACTGCCTGGTCGGGTTGGCGTCACGAGAGGCGACATTTTATTTTGACGCTACGTTTCAGAGAGCATTACTCTTGCACTGTCTTTTTTCATCGCCGACCCGTCACGATTTGATCGAATAAATACGGATTTATTTCGACTTCGAAACGACAATAATGTCGAAACGAACTGCACGTTAGTAATAAAATTGCGGCATTTAATCCATTCAATCTTTAGCAATAAATTGACTAACAAATTGTGTAATAATATTATTGTCACAGATACTTATGAATCTTTAACTTTAGTAATTTTATATTTTATTCTTCATTAAAAACTGAGAAATACAAAAATATAGCAAAACTATTAACGAGGGATTATAGAAAAACATTTAATATTCTTATTTCATATTATATAAAATATTTTAAGATAATTAAATTTCTAACTATTAATAAAGTATAATTATTTTTAATTTTCTCGCAATATCACACAAAAAAAGAATTAATTTTTTCTTAAAACAAAATTCTTATTTACATACTTTCTTAGCCAATTTAAATTATCTTTATATAACTGCAAAAGTAATTAATTATAGTACCATCTATATCTATAGCACTATTTGTGCTTATATTTAATATTTAAAGTATCTACAATTAAACGATTTTATTGCGTCGAACTACAAAACAAATGTTTTAAAATAAATTTTATGATGAAAGAACGTGGTTATATCACGGCTATCGTGGTTATTATATATTGCAGTTATTATCGTGGCTATTTCACGATTTCGAATATCAAGTATTCAGTAAATCAAAAGTGTTCTAAAACTATTATTAGATGTCCTTGTTATATTACATATTTTCTAAATGTTTCGATATTTATTTTTTCTCTAAATGTCGAGTAAGATATTTTAATACGATAAAATATATAAAATTCTTTTGACAAATTGAACTTTAATATAATACTAGCATAGGCAGCAAAATAATTTTTCTATTAATTTTACACAAAAGTGGACTTTAATAAAACTTTAGTTTGTACTTGTAAATATGTAATGTTGATAATTAAGAAATGAATGACTATGTTTAAAAAGTAATTATTTTAGAGGATAGATAAATTTAGTATTATTTTCCAAGAGATTGAATTTTTAATTTGATTTATAAGTAATCCATATAATATTGCACTCTTAGCGATTAATTTTAAATAATATCACAAAAAGATCTTTATATTATTCATTCTTTTCCATTCAATAAAAAAGAACTTGAAATAATGATGTGATCATATTAAACTATTTTTAATAAAATTAAAATCGGTCTTACATTGTTATAAGACTTCTTCGTTGACGACTTTTTCGTCGACCCTGCGTCACCTTCTGTGGATTGATTATCAAAGTCGACTATAAAAGCATCGGGCTTCTTTGTCGTAGATTCGTGTAGCGAACCGTTTTGGAGAGCGACACCATCTGTTGTGTCACCAACTCCGATTGTAGTAGTTTTACTTCCGATCGAATCTGCACCTTTCGCGATCGTTGATTTTCTCGAAAGTTTTGCTTCTTGATTTTTCGACTCTATCGTAGAGGCATACTGGCGAAATCATTTATGATGTTATTTGTGAAAAGATTTATAAATTACATTGAATTTAATATTTCATGAGATTTCAATATTTTTATTTTTTAAATGTATTTTAATAATATATTTATCTATATGTTTATCTACATATCTATATATAGATAAGATAAATATAAATATATATATATATATATAGAGAGAGAGAGAGATTATATATTTATTTATATATCTGTATAACAATATAACAATCTAATAAAATTAGATTATCCTGTCGGATAATCAGCTTTTTGCTGCGATAAAGAGATAGGAAAAAATAGTCCCTCTACATATATATACAATAAAAATATAAAATAAAAAATTTTCAAAAATATTTGTATTATTACAGAAAGCAATTCTGCTTTAAAAATATCCAATTTTTCAATTATACTTACTTTCGAAGCAATATCGGGACTTTTGGAAGGAGATGAAGGTGCGCTTTCTCTTGTCGCTCGCGTGTTCGTTTCGTGATGCTTTCTCGTAGCTGAATCGGGACTCGGGCTTTTCGTGATCCTGGATACACAGGATTTAGCTTTAGTCAATCTCGCCGGATCGCCTCTGAGAAATACGTTTTTCGCTGCATCGGTCGCAGAGATCGATCTTCTCGCGTCGACATGCTGTCGCGAAACCGAATGCCGATTTGCAATTGCTGAGCTCGACTCTTTTGCAGTGATTAGTTTATTTGGTTCGCTATCGATTGATTTGCGAATATCCTCGATAGATCGTAATGCTTTCACGGAAGACATTGGCGTTTCTTGCAATCTTTTCCATTCTTTTGTGTCCTTACAATTGAGATTCTCGGAAGATCTTACCTTTGAAACCGATTTGTCCTTATCAAATCTAAAACTTACGGAAGAATAATTTTCTTTCTTACGCGCTTTTGCATAATTCGATTTTTGAGTCTCTTTTTCTGAATCAGATTCGAATAACCGCCGTTTACACGTTGGAGATCGAGTTTGCGTCGATCTCTGCTTGTTTTGGATCGAGTTTCCAATTCTTTTTTTGGAGGAACAAATTTCCTTGCCAAGAATTTTTAAATCGCTTTTACGTGGAAAATTTTTAACTTTCAGATTTTTGTTGACCGAAGATTTTGGAGTCGATTTTGAAACTGTATTATTTGTTATTTCAGAAGTAGTTAACGTTGATCCTCCTGAAGTGACTGTCTGCTTAACAGAACTTTTTGTTTGCACATCCATCATCTGTAGAGAAATCTCGGGAGATACGCGGAAACTCGTCGGGCCTGAATGTTCAAATTCTGCGCCGATGGAATCAAATCTTTTTAATGCCGACTCTACAGAGCTCATTCTTTCGAAATCTTTTTCGGATTTATTCTCTTGTCGCGTTTGTATTTTTGAAAATTTCCCCGCAGTGTCTTCCGACTCCTCAATCTTATGTTTTACATTTGTTTTATTAAATAAGTTCGCCGATTTTTTCGCAATTGGCGCATTTCTGTCTTTGATGGTGTTTGTGGAAAATTTGGACGTGAAATTTCGATTCATTTTGGATGCGACTCTCTGAGATGGCAAAATTTTTGAGGTGTCAGCACTCCGAAAACTTTTTGCAGTTTCTCTTAAAGGCGGGACTCGCGGTGAAATGTTAGACTTTGCATCGTGTCGTCTATCACCATCTTTTTTTTTCTTTGAAATATTCAATGTCGTCGACATCCGCGTTCCTCGAATGGTGATATCTTTATCTGTTTGATCAGTGGAGTTTGGGCGTGTAATTTTGCGATAATCCTTAATCTTCTTATTCAGAGCCGTTTCAACTATCGTTTGATATTTTACGTCGATCCCATCTACTGCATTTTCAGTCTTGTTTTCTGTTCTTTTTTGATTATATTCATCAGATACGGATAGATTTTTTTCCTTTAAAGTATCTTGCACTATTCGAGTGGATAAGCTTTGCAGTCGATCGAATTCTGTTCGCGTTTCTCCACTTCTTTCCTCAGGGTCGCGTAAACGCGAAACTACATCATCGGAATATTTTCTTTTCCTAAAAGAATCAGGAGACATTGCTTTCGAAATGCGACTTTCCGTAGATCGATCTCGTGTCTGTTTTGGAGATCGAGGAATCGTATACTGTCGATCTTCGTGTTTCCTGGATCGAAATGTAGAAAGTTCAGCTTGATTTTTTACGCATTTATGTGTTTGAAATGTATTAACTTTACATACTCGATTTTCATCTTCCTTGGCACGAGTTATGACACGTTGAGAAGTTTCGCTTACAGGATTACAACCGAGCTTATTCAGACTGATTGCGCTTTCCTTGCTATCTCGATACGTTCGATAATCTTTGGACCCTTTGCTTCTTTTGAAAGAATCTTCCTTCGATTTGAAGACATTTGATTTTAAAATAGATGCTTTCTGCTTGTGCACTTTGCGAACGGGATAAGTAACCGAGGATTTGAATTTTCTTTTATCGTTCAATGATTTTGTATACGTTCCATCAATTTGTCGCCTCGATATTGGAGTCTCCGCCTTTCGTAACTTATTGTCGCGTTCAAGACGATGATCAGTCATAATGATTTCTTGAACCTCCGTATCGACTTCTATTGGAGTGATACTTTTGCGAGGCGATTCCGGTGTAGCCCTCCTTCTACTTTCGAAAGATCGAAAGAGAGGCGAACTTGCTTTCTGGAAAGGTGACGAAGATATTTTATATCGATTCCTCGATTGATCATTTTTCGCAATCGAAGCATTTATATTTTTAATATTTCGTTTAAAAGGCGATTGGCAAACTTTGCTTCGTTGTTTTCCATTTTGAGATTTCATAAATTTACGAACGAGTCCTGCTGATTGGAAAATATTGTCAAATTCCATGCCATATTTCAGACTTGCGATCGAACTGGTCGATGTTGCAGAGATTTCCGAAATTTTCGATGACCTGCGAGAATCTGTTTTCTTTATTTCGTGTTTGATAATCGAAGGACTCCGTCTATCTTGTAAAGAATTAATTTTATCAATTGATAGTAAAGGTTTTATGGATTGTTTATAAGAAATATCTGGAGTATAATTACGCTGTTTTAATATATTTTTAGTGGAATCCGTCGAGCTCGATCTTGGTTTAATTAACATTGTTGTAGCAGATTTTTCAGATTCTTTGCAGAAAAATTGCGGACTTGCACTTCGCTTTGTTATTATTCCTCGATCATGTGATGGCGATCGAGAATAATCAGCAAGGCTATCAATGCTCATAGTTGTGCCAGATCGTTCGGATTCTTTGCAAAAGAATCGCGGACTGGTACTTTGTTTTTTAAATATTTTTTTTTCATAGAATGGCGATTTAGAAGATATTTTTCCATCGAGATTTTTATCTAAAATTCGAAATTTTTTATCAAAATCGGTCGTATCTCGTTTTGTTAATATTTCCTTATTCCATTCTGGCGATTTAGATCTTATAGTTTCTCGATCAGTACTCATAGATGTTTCGGAGCGTTTAAATTCACGACGCAGATATTGTGGACTCGTACTTTGTCTTGAAACAATTTCTCTGTCCCATATTGGTGATTTAGATTTATTTGTTGTATGAGATTGCTCAGATTCGCTGAGAAAAAAATACGGACTTTTATTTCGTTTGATTTCTTGATAAAACAACGGTGATTCTGGAGACGAATCAGATCTTCGTCCAATGCTCATTGTTGTTCCAGATCGTTCGGATTCTCTACAAAAGAATTGTGGACTGGTGTTTTGCTTTTTTAATATTTCCCTTTCAAATGATGGCGATTTAAACGAAGTTTTTCGATCGAGATTTGTTCGAATTTTTTTATCGAAATCAATCGTATTGCGCTCTTTTAATATTTCTCGATCTATGGTTTCACGATCAGAACTCAAAGCTGTTTCAGGTCGTTTAGATTCACGATAAAGATATCGTGGACTCGTGTTTAATGAAATCGGTGATTTAGATTCACTTCTTGTACGAGATTGTTCAGATCCACTGAAGAAAAATTGTGGACTTTTTCTTTGTTTATTTATTTCTTGATAAAATAATGGTGATGCTGACGAATCAGATTTTCGATCAATGCTCATAGTTGTGGCGGATTGTTTAGATTCTCTACAAAAGAATTGCGGTCTTGTGCTACGTCTTGTAAATATTTTTCCGTCAGCCGTTAGCGATTTAAAGCCATTTAAAGCTTTTCTGGGATAAATCTTCAAACTGTTTTCTGCTTTTATAGGTTTTTGGAAAAAGCTTTGCGGACTGTCGCGTCGGTTAAACGTTTCGGTATCCAATTTTTCTCTTCTCTTACTTATTTTATCGACTACGCGAGTTTCAGCTGGCAGAAAATTTTTCACATTTTCAAGAAGCCTTTGACTGCGATCTGAAATCCGACTACTTCCGCTCCTTGTGTCGGTCGGGGAAGTTCCGACGATCTCACTCCGTCTGAGAACGCATAGTCGAGAAAGCAAATGTAGAACGATTTCTGAAGGAAGATCACACTAAAAAATGCGTGCTTTTTCTTACAGCGGTCGACCTTATTTCGGTTCAGCGCCCAAGCTGATTAGCGCTAGCTGCTTTTGTGATAGACGTCCCGCTAGTTATTTTTTCTCGCAACCCGAAATGTTAAATCTGTTTCGTGTAAATTGGCGGTTAAATGAATACGAATACGTGAGATACGAAAAGATAATTAAGCTTGTGAAATCATTTTACACCTGTAACTTCGAACTGGAGCAGAAGAATTAATTTTCGTCTGAATATTCATCCATTTAATATTCATGACACTGCGTGAATTAGTTATCCACCGTTTATTTTTAATATTCGTTCTAGTTTACGATGAGGTGGAGGTTAGATAAACATATATTAGAGGATGTGGTATTATTCTTCCTCAGATATATATATATTTTAATATTTTTCCTCGCGAATTTCTTACGATGCACATTGTTAGTGCATATATTTATTATATACATATATATATATTATATCTGTAATAGTCGAGGCTAGCAATTGCAACTACGTGGCGTATAAAATTAATTCTGGCAAGCAGCGGCGAGTTTTGTTAGCGATTGTCGATGATTAAAATTCACAATGATTTGCACGCATATATACATGATAAATTTAATTTTCAATCGCGACAGAGTATTCTCTATATAAAATTCAATGGATTTATTACACTTTGTAACGTATTGTTTTTTATAGGCTACTTTTATCTATACAATAATTTAAATTACAAATTACAAACGATAATATTAAAAAAAATTTACCTGGAGTTCGATTTTGCTGGAATCGTTTGTTCCAATCGCTTTTTTATCACGCCGTTCGAAGTTAATTGTTTCGGCATGTTGCTCCTCTTCGCGTTCGTATTCTTGAATCGCTCGAGTCGCGCTTCCGCTTGAGTTAATTTTTTCGTGACGTTTCTCTTTGGAAGCTTATCGGGTACATCCGTGAGGTATTCCGGGAATTCCTCGTTTTCCAAATCGTTCCTCACGTGATGTTTTAGACTCTCATCGAATCCCATTAAATGGATCTTTGCCATCATGCGATTTCTCTCCAACGTTTCCTGATCTAATGCTTCTTCTTGCTGCGCGTTAATAAATAATAGAATAAGTTACTAAATATATATTTGCAAAATATGCGTGATAAAATAACGACTAAATTACACGTTTCAAGGCAATATTTTTCAGTATTTTAAATAATTTTTGACATATAAATTTCAAATGAGCAACTCAAAAATTGAGAATCAAATAGCACATTAATATCTTACGCGCAACCAACCTCATTATAGTCAGTTTCTTGACGGTAATATCCATTACCGAATGTGGTGACGCGATTCTCCACTCCGAATTCATCCTCATCATCGTGACGACGTACGGATGATTCGCGTATGATATCTTCGTGATACGAAACGACGGGTTTGCCGCCATTAACATTACTGTTGACATCCGCGCGCGTTACGCGTTTCACGGATTGCCGATTCACCATTGAATTGCCGTTCCTTTGCGTCACCAAACCGTTCGTATTCGTTTGCTTCCGTAATTTGTTTTCGAGGGGTTCCAACGGGTAACTCCTGTCGATTCCTTTGACGGTGGTTTGCCGTCTCTCATCGAACATTTGTCTCACCTTATAACGCGCCAAATTATCACAATTATAGCATTCAAAATTTCGAAATGAGTACAATAAAACAAAATCGCAAAATCGCTTTGTATATTTTTTATAATAGAGAATTAAAGTCATTGTTTATCACCTTATAGCGCGCGAAATTATAACAATTATTACATTCGAAATTTCAAAATGGATACAATAAAAAATTGCGACTTGTCTATTTTTTATAATAAAGAGTACAATTAAGTAATTGTTTATAATCTTATAACACTCGAAATTTCGAAATACATGCAATAAAAAAAAAATCGCAACTTTATATAATATAATATTCGTCTATTTGTTATAATAAAGAAAAGTCATTGTTTACTTCTTTGGTATTCGCAAATAAATGAGCGCGCGATAAAAATCCCGACTCGAGCTGACACGTGCAAAATTATGATATATACCCGACGTTACTCTCGATTCGTTCCGCGGAATAACTTACCTTACCACCTTGCGAGGTCGAGGTCGTCGTCGTCGTTGTAGTTCTAGAGGAACCGCCGTGATTAGAACTGTTGGAACCCGCGCTACCTCGTTGTACCACCTGATAGGCTCGCTGCTGTTGCTGATCGTACAGTTGCAGCAGCTTCTGCTCCTTCTCCTGGAGTTGCTTCTGCTGGAAGCGGGCCTGCGGATAATTCACTTTGAGTTTCGGCATATCCGCCGGGCAGAAATGCGGACCGACGTCGCGCGGTTATGCACGTCGGCTCGCATGTAAGTGCACGGTATCGCGAATACCTGCGAGTCTCTACGCCGCAGGTTACACGGCAACCGTCTCATCGATTCACCTCTAACCTACATGCGAGGGGGTTAGTAAACTCGTTATGCTAAAGCGGATCGTTCGTCTTTTAACCCTGCGTCGCTCGCGATATTTCAACCCTCTGCGCTCCTTAAAGAGTATCGGTGTCAACTTTCCGACGTTGCATTTATATCATTCAATTTATTCGATTATAGTGGTGTGTCAAAGAAAATTAAATTCTGATTGTATTTTTATCGGAAAAATATTGGCGGAATTTAATACACTGCTATTTGTGTTCTACATCAAGTTTTAGCTGGGTTTTTTTAAATATAAGATAAATAAATAATAAGATAAATTAATATAAAGGACTATTTTTTAAAGATTTAATAATTTTGTTATTTTTTACAATCAAGTTTTATTTTTATTAGTTCTATAGATAATCGAAGTAAGGTTTAAAATTATATATAGTCATTTTGGGAACAAAAATGGAACAAAGATCAATCGCGGTTTAATAATCATTCTGTCCTCCTAATTGCATATCTCTTCGATGATTGCATTGGCAATCAGATGCACCACTAATTGATTCATACCTAATGAATCTGCCATATTGGACACTTTGTCTCCATATTAGATCGGTTAGAAATGCAAACCTGAGATTCAGTGAGAAGGTAATTAATAATGCTAACGCGGAATGCTAATTACATTCATGATTATAAAATAATAGGAAAATATTATAAGAAACTTTTTTAAATTTTAGAAGTTTTATCAATTAATTATATATTATTGCAAGTTATTTCAGAATTACATAGTAAAAGTACTTTTTCAATAAATAAATATATAAGCTAAAGATATTAGCTTTAAATTCTACGCATTATTGTGTTATTGATTAGGGTTATCGTTATTTCTTGACCCAGTAAATGCTCGTAAATGCGTAGTCATTGCATTGGCAAACCCTTGATACACATTTCGCAAGATCCCGGCAATCGATATGCATTATACAAACATGATAGCTACCCCCATTGCGTTCTGGTGAACATGATATTACACTATTTGCTTACGCATCTATTAGTAACTGATTGCCAATTAAGCGTAAAAGAATGCATCCAAAGATAAAAAATAAAGAAGTAAGAAAAATGAAAAATAAATAAAGAGCTGGCTGGTTTTAGTTGGGAATAAATAAATGATTAATAAATAACACGCGAATTCTTCGCATTAAAATTGCGTTAATTCGAGATGTGCGTTAGGAACTCACGCAAGCGATTTCTAAAAAGGAAGAAAAAACGGTCCGAGGGATCGGGTATCGCGTAGGCACACGGACACGAGATTCGAGAAGTCGACGACTCTGACATACTTAACCATATATAGAGGAAGCAACATTCCCGTTTATTCTCGCGCCTGCGGTTTCTCCTTTTCCGCTTCAGAATATTGCCGATAAAACGCGGGCAATGTGTCTTGCGAAAGGCCTAACGTTGGTTCACTTTGACGATTACTTACTTTCATTGTTTCTTTCCCGTCTTTTCATTAAAGCCAGCTTATTAAATGATATTTCTGTTCTCATATAATTTCATATCAACCCATCAATAATCTTTGGCTGCAGTCAAAGCTACACGCTACGAAAGCTTTGAAACATCGTTATATTTTTAATTTTATTAGAATAAAGATAGAATGATATTTCGAAGCATTCGTAGCGTAGCTTTGACCTATTTAATTGATTAAATTTTGCAATTATAATACAAGCAATTTTAGTTAAATTACAATTATTTTTGTCTTTCAAGACCTCAATACCTTAAAATCAATATTTTAAATGAACATATTTAATTAACTTTCTAAAATTTATACCATGGTTTCTAAATTATTGAACGAGGAGTCATATTCTTGAGCTGCCCATGATGTTTTCATGTCCATGGAAACTCCACGAGCGCCCAGCTGTTGCGGTCGAATATGCATATTTGTTATTGATTTCTCAATTAATTTTCCGCTTAGAAGTCATTGGGCTGGTGTCTGTGTCCTAAGGAATCCTCGCACAAATTTTCTTACATTGAAGATTTGACTGGTTTATGCAATCACGAATCAGTGATATCTCTGATGTTTTTAGCACTTGCACAGATAATCAGTTTTTGTGTATAAAATTCATAGATTTGTAGAGTTCACTTTTCATATTTTCATGTGACATTATTATTTATGGAGTCCTTTACAAGTTAAACAAATTAGGAAATATATAGTAAATGTAATGTTTCGTGATATTTTCCTGCAGATCTAACACGGAGTTTTTAAAAAAGAATGCGCAAAAGAACTTTAATAAAAAGTTATATGTATAGCCACACGAGAAAAACCTACATTAACAATAGTTAGAGGTCGTGACGCTGTATATCAAGTTTAATCTTTTTTTTTAAACCTTGCGAAAGAAAATACAAGTTTAACAAGCAAATCTAGCATTATTAAAGAGTGCCATATTAAAGTTGCTTATCGAAATTTTAATTAACTAATTTTATTTAACTACCACGATATACTCTTGTCAATGTTATCTTTATAAGTAAATTTTTCATATCAGTATTCGCTGCACTTAATGCATTTTTATTTAATTATTTTGTAAATATTGTGCATATTTAGTTACACCTGCGCGTAATTTATCGAAATTTAATTCTTTAGATAATGACTTGGGATTTATTACTATAACAATACAATTTTTATTGTTTATTTAAATTTGCCAATTAGTAAATACAGCTAGAACAGTTTTGTTAAATCGATATAGTTGCGTTAAAGAGAGCTAAAAACAATTATATAAATTTGAAAAGTTTTATATTTTAGAGCAGATAACACATCTCTTTTTGTGAAACAAACGTCACACCAACAGTTTCATAATTTCCAAAGTTAATTTTATATAAATGTCTGTAATCGAATTAGCACGCATATCGAGAACGATCTAAATCGGCAAAATTGCGTAAATAATTACAAAATATAAATGTTTAGAAATGATCGATTTTCCGTAAAATAATATTAGCCTAAATTTAAATTTAATTTACATATGTTCGCAATCTCGTTAGCAAATATATCGAGAGCAGTTTTTGTTAAATTGATATAGGTGCGATAACAAATAGTTACGATTTTTTAGAGTGTTAATTTAATATTAGAGTAAATAAAACATTTTTTTTCTGAAACAAAATGTCACTGAAACGTTTATATGCATCATTCTCTACGTTAAATTTCAGTCTGATATTCATGCAATTAAATTTGCACATACACGAAACATGACAAAACGCGTCCAATGTCAACATGGTGCGAGAAACGCGTACACATACTACTACAATTTGTATGTGGATGTATAGTTGAATGTTTTCACAGGCGATCGCGTGGTTAATCGCGAAATGATGAATTTCGAAAGTTACGAAATACGATTAGCCGGGGCGAATGATTTAATAATCGGTTAACGCGCACATTGTAGCATCGATAGTACTGCGGCACTGTGAATGTTACCATCACAACTGTGTTGTTACAAACTACAGCGCACTGACATCCTATGGCAGCGCGCATGTCCATCTCAGTTCTACCCTTACAACCACGATGATAGTTATAATGTGGGTTGACAGGCGATCGAAAAGAAATCTATATACATATATGTATAAACACGTGACTTATTTCAAACGGTGATTTGCTCATATATTGATCCGCTTTTTAATAATTTCATATTTTTTTGTTCCTATATTTGCGATCACTATGTAATTCAAGCAATGAATAGGTGAATAGAATTATTAAATACGTTGACGTACAGAGTGAGACGTATAACAAAATGGTATATATTGTTTCAATATAATATCGAAAAAAATAAGTTTAATAATATAATAATTTTTGTAAAAAAAAACTTCTCCAAAATTCAATAGTTTCTCTAAATCAATCTCTAATTCAATAATTTTCGTAAAAAAGCTGCTCTCTCTAATTCAATTTTAAATATTTTCAAATAATAAAATTTTGATATTTTTGTACTTAAAAAGTAGTTTTAGAAAATAATTTTATTTACATATCACACAATATTGAGATATTGACTTTTAATAATAAAGATAAAAACATTATTTTTATTCTCTTTACTTCACTAAATGTTTTTCCATACATTCTTATTAAAAATAAAAACAAATTTATTTTTGCGATATATCTAAGATGATATATAATAATAAATATATACTAATTATAATACATATATCTTATTTAAAAATATTTTAATATTTGAATTGAAGAACAACTCTCTTTCTGCTTAGACAATTATATTATATTATTAAAGTTATATTTTTTATTAAAAAGATATTTTAATATATTTTAAAAGAAATATGAGATTTTTCTTTTCTTTAAATACGTTGCATAGTACAGCATTAAAAAATAAATTCTACGACATTATAGTCGTTATACCTATAGAGTAATCGCGAGAGTATATCGCTCACAAAGAGTTTGAAACAAACCTACCGCGATGTTACTTGGAAATTTCATCGAAGTGCAAAGTTCAAGGTTGGAAAGAGTAATGGCGGTGATCTTAAGAATTGATATAAACGAGTCGTATGTTTGACAGTTGGTTTAGATCAAGATTTATTACTTCCTTGTCGCTTTCATAGACTTTGTGCGCCAACGCGGAAAATTGGCCGCTTCGACGAGTTAATGTCAATTTGCCTCAATAAGATGAGCTTTATCGTAGCTGCACCTTGGGGTCAGATGTGGTTGTTCATTGCGAGTAGAAATGGGAAATTAAAAAATTTAAAAGAAATGGAAAATTTAAAATTTTAATTTTTATTTATTTTATTTTATTTATATATAAAATGCTTCATATACTTCATTAATTATATGTAAGAGACATTATTTAGAGTTAATTATCAAATTATTTATATATATTATGTATACTTTTATTTTATATAGTAGTTTCGTGCACTGTGTCAAGAATGGGTTTCCTAACAATAAGAAAAAATCTTGTAATGTTTCTCGAAAAGTAGCTCGTGCCTATCAAATTCACAATAGTTGCATATAAAAAATATTACTGCAATTAAAAAAAGAAATTACTTCGCTTGTGTAATTTATTTTGATTTCTCAGACTAAATCCTGTTTGCTTTTCGTGTAAAATTTAATTTTTATTGTCAGGAAATGCCACAAGCTTTGCCGCGGAAATTAGTTGTCAATACAACCTATAGGAAAACTTGTAACGAGAAATATAGTTTTTTAAAGGTACAGATGGTGAAACATTTTTCCCATCAATACTGAATATAAATATTTTATATTTATTGTTAGACATTTTATAAAATGTTGGAATATTATTTTTTATTTTATATGTGAAAAGGAATTAACATTTTTTCCTTATCATATTGTCAACATTAAAAATCATGTGATAATATAGATGATTTCATGATTCCTTTTATCTATACTAATCTCATATTGTAAAGTGTCATTATTTTTTTTTTTTGCAATATTCATTTCTTTAATATGCTTAACATAATATATATTTCCTTTTCTAAATACAATGCAGAATAAAATATCCAAAGTTATCCATTTGTCTTTTATCCGTTTGACTTTGCGTAAGAAAATACGTAATTATTATTTGGAAATTATCTATTTATTCGAAATATCGATCCCACGAATCGCTTACTTTCAAATACTACGTTTAAAAATAAAGCTAAGACAAATTTTAAAATTTATTGTTTGCCATAAGAAAAGGGATAAGGAGAATCGTGGAAATGTTGGACGCAGGTACTTCTTGCGATTACTACGTTCGACAGACCGAAAACCAATCATTTCGCACGACCGACAATGCTCTCGAGGAATCTTGAACTTTGCATTTTATCGAAGACGAATTGAATTTTCACGTGCGACTATGCAAACTTTTTATGCGTGTATTTTATACTTTCGATGAAGCATTTCTTGGAAATGGAATTCAAACTATAAGTTTGATAAATATTTTCTCTGTGAAAAAAAAAGATCGTACATTACGTGACATCGTGGCGATTTCATTATCATGAAAAGAAATATTTAACAATATTAAAATGTCTATAACGATATTATATATTGATTTCAATTTCTGCTCTGAAATGCATTATTTATCGTAACGAAAGTTAATTAACAAGTAAAACTGAATATTGAAAAAAAAAAAAAAAAAATGATGATAACTTGGAGATAGCGAGGACGCAGTCGCATCTCGTTGTCTTCCGTACATCGTGCACGTGTCCCGATAACGAAATCTGCCCATAATTACTTTGCTTAACTGGGCATGCACCTCGCAAAATTACAATTACAAATCGGCGGCAAGCGAAGCTGCACCGTACCTCTCTTCATCAATTATTTATAAGCCAACCGCTACCGTTCCCGCGGTCCTCCTTGCTGCTCCGAATTCGCGTTTTAGATTTATCCGTACGAGCTTCACGTTTCGTGCTGCACGCGTCTTTTTTTCTCGTGTCGGTGCGTGTTGAATGTGCACGCTCGCGTGAAATACGTGCCCAACATGTAGGATATCAGAAAAATGTGTTTAAATAGATTTCAATCAAAAAATTTTATTTTTAAATTCTCTGGATGTCTCCTGCCAATGAAAATATTCCTCTTTTGTGTAATTTTTTTTCTAAGAAAATCAAGAATTTGTAATGTAAATGATATCCGGTAGTTCTAAAATATTTTGTAGATGTATATCATCTCCTCACATCTAAAAATGACTTATAATTAGCACAAGCGCTACAATTAGCTTTCCACTATAATTATCTTGTCGAATGGAATATCTTTCTAAAAAATGATTTTAATCATTGCTTTATTTAGTTCCAAATTATGTTTGTCAGATTTTTATATTTTTTAAAAATAATGTTAAAAGATCCTAAAATTTGTTCAGTGTATCTGTCAATCTTAAAATATCTATGAAATTTGTTAGCAAGCCGATAAATATAATTGTGTATAATTATGATCGAATCGGATTCCCCGATCGATAATGACGTAATGCATTCGTTCGAGATCTTTTTTTTCGATTCACACCTTCCTCCAATGTTGGAAGGTCAAGCGTGGGCATAGCGAGCTGCGACGTTCGCTCGGTCGTTTGATTCTTTTTATGCGCGTTAGTATACCAAGAGATGCAACGATACGAATCTTATGCGTATAATGTAGTGCGCATTAGTTTCATTTGCATTAATTTTCTCAGATTTTATTGAGAATACATATATCCATTTTCTACCCCCACACGCACAGCAATACCTTATACAAAATTCAAAACAACAATAACTCTTAAGATATGCAATGACGAATCATGAATTAATTATGATTGACAAATCATAAACTGATTTAACATGCGAATGAATTAATTTCAAAGTCGACAATTAACAATTTTTGACCGAAAGTCTTTAATATTGAAACAAATGTCAAAAGGATCGAAAATATCGAAAATATATACAATTATATCGAAAATATACAATAAAATTGTATATCTGATTGTAAAATTGTATATCTACAATTTTCATATACGAGAATATAATTTTAATGAAGATATGCAACTCAATAAAATTTGATAATATTGGAGATATAAAATCTCGATCTTTTTATCTGTTAATTTCAAACAAGTGTGTGCGAAGCAATTCGCTGTATTAAGCATAAAGATAACAAAGTAGAATTAGCTAAATGATCTACTATGACATTTGTTTTCTTTTACGATAAATGAACATATTCATATATAAGTAAATCCTTGTAACAAATAATTAGAAGAAAATTATTCAGTATAATTCAGTGTACCGTTAACGCATACAAAATATTTGCAGAATTGGGATATTTAATTTTATAAACGATAGTAAACAATTTAAAATAAAGATTCGTGTGTGCACGGAGAAAAAATAATGTCTAAGAAATCTGTTTGCCGTGTCTCAATGCGAAGGAAATGACGTCACAGTATTATAGTTACGAGTCTCAATAGTTTGTCATGGTTGACAAACCAAGCGTCCACTTTTTTGTCTTCTTCAAGTCTCGCGATTCTTGTCTCGCTCTATAACTTGGAGTTGCGTTCTTCCAAGAAAATTGCCCCTAGAGGTGTGTCGTGTGAGAAGTTAAAGTCAGTTGTGGATAAATGCACTTTCCATGTGAATGTAATTTTCAAAGTAAATTTAGTAAAAATAAAACGCGTAAAAACAAAAAGAATTATATCCATCTAATCTTGCTTATTATATGTATATGCGTGAATTACGTACATTTTTATGTCGAAACAATTGTTCGTCTATCTTTACAGAAAATGTTATAAGTTATGATATTGTCATTGATCCTTACGTATCCAAATATAAAAATGATTGAAACATAAAAATTCGGAAACAAAATTGTGTCAAGATTAATCGTTCTTATTATTTTCGTACGTTGATTTTACATTTGAAATTATATTCATCGGGAAACATATTGTGTAAGAGTAGGCGGAAGAGATGTAACTTTGTCGAAATATCAGCTTGTCGATCGGATTTGGATATATCGATACGTGGGTCGCACGTTGCGCGTGTCTGAACAAGATGCCATATAAGCATTCGTACAATACAGAAACGATACGTGGGCCAAAAGAACGTCAGAGTTGCTTTAAGCGATTTATCAAGTATTATTTCGGAAATACAATCAAGAGAAAGAAAGAGAAAAGAGAGAGGACAGAAAAAGGAAAAAAGAGAAAACCATGGAAACTAACATGCAAACAATCAATATACAATATATTACGTTTTCACGAAAATAATTCTTAATCACGAATGTGTCTCTATTTTATGTAACAGCTTTGTAAATTCATGTAAATAGATTGCGCGCATTTTTATCTATTTTCATGATTAATATCGAACTGCGTATAAATAAAGCGCGAACGAAATTATATAAGCTTCAAAGTGCATGTAATATAGTGGGCAAAAATTTATTATGTCTCTAACAATAAGTAAAATTTGTTTAAGTTAAACAATTTATAAAGAGAGTAACGATTTTGGTTTGTACTTTATATGTAGGTACATATAATTATATACTTGTATTTCACTCTATTAATTATACACTGAAACGTTTACAAAATTCTATGATAAATATTAAACGTTAAAATAATGCCTTTATTCCCAAATAAAAATTATGAATTTGTTTGCAGATAGAAATTTATCTTTTTAAATTTTATAAAGGTAGAAAAATTATTTTACCTGTAGCATCTCAAGACGTGACGATGCTTGTGATGCTGCCATATTTCAGCCTATTACTTTGCGATCACTCGTCCAATGGAAGATGTTTTCGTTCTGAAAAATATAATAAAAGTTTTATATATTTTACATATTTCACGTGTAATTTTTAACAATTCGAATTTTTTAACTTAAATTTTAATAAAGAACTTTATATTATCTTTTATTGAGAAAACAATATTGACATGTCAAATTTGATAAATAAATATTAATTTTTTATGTATTATTAATAATATATCTTATGCGATATGGCAATACTAATTTAATTTATCTGAAAACATTAGATTAGAAAACAATATGTAGATTTCACATAAAGAAAATAGAAGAAGAACACATATATATTGCAACAAGTACAACACTATTTGAAAATGAAAAGTTATCAGTTGTGGATTTTCTTATGAAAATTTTTTTTTGTTAAAATATTGCGGTAAGTTTAGAATGTATTCGGAACATTCCAATAAAGGTAGTCGTACTAGCATCATAAAGTATAACGCACTTAGACAAATGTTGCGTATCTGTAATTCGCTACTGGCAGAGTAGTAATATTGCAGATGAAAATAGCTCGGTTCAGCGTGCGCGGGAAACGATGTAGTTCGTCGAGTTCCAAATAATTATACTTAAAATAGAGTTTGTATGCTGTATTATAGCTACAAAGCGAGTGCCTCTATAATACATCATAACAACTACTGAGTAATCAAATATGAGTTATTTTCTGTTCGAGAATTTTTAATTTATAGCAATTTGACATATTGGATAATGACGTATTGCATATTTCAATGATAAAGAGTATTAATTAGAGATATTGAATAACAGAAAAATATATTGATTTTTAATACAATTTTTAAGTTACAAAAATGAATTTGTAAGCCATATTATACATCTTTTTGAAGTTGTGCAAAAAGAATGCCAAACTCTTTTTCATAGGTACATGCGATTTTAAAGCAGGCAGATATTAAAGGTTCAATGGCGCGTATTGGCTTTCACTTTTTGTTTCACCTGTCACATTACCAAGTGTAATTCACGAGCGATTCGCAAATGTAATTGTAATGGAACGAATTCGAATTGTACGGGTCGAGCAGCGAGTGAACTCGGCTATTGTTACTCTTTCGAACGATCTACCCTCTATAAAGTCAAGCGCGTTTAAACGTGGGTGGATCAGTAGCGTGGGCGCATTTGATATTACCGCGTTTGATACATTATTACGTTATCGAGTTTAATCGTTTTCATATGTTTCTCATCCAGTAATGGACATATTTTAAATTTATATTATTGAAAATAATTATTTAAATGTGTTTCATTTAAATAAAATATTTATTCGAAAATTCTTTATCCTAAAAATGATAAGTATCGGAATATATGAAAAAATGTACAGGAAATATTTATTTAAAGCTATATTTTAAATTATTAATTAAATCAATTATTTTAAAAAAATTATAGAAATTATAATTTTGAATAATATTTAAAAAATTGATGAATTTGCAATATGTATGTACATATATTGATCATTTAAAAGATTTTTATTTTTTATATTTTTAAAATATTTTTTTTCTTAGAAAATGTTACATATTAAAAAAAGTGACTAGGAAAATAATCAAACATATATATTTATACTAAAAGTATAATTATTATTTATTTTTAAGTTACAAAAAGATTTAATTACATAATAAAACATAAGCAAAACTAGATATAATAAAATAGAATAAGAGAGAAATAAGTAGAATAATTGATAAAAATAATAACGTGATTTATATATTATAATTCGTGCAATCAATATCTTTGATGAGACTCTTTAGGAAAATATTGACATGAGATGATTCGTTGTAATAGTGTTTTTAGGCCAGCAAGCATCGTGACTCACGCGACCCCTGACGTAATCGTGAGACTTTTATGGTTAAGAATGGAGAGACATAGTGGCTCACAACTTATTTGCAATTTTCTCCGAACATAAAGGCACATCTCGTATTATCGTATGCTAAAAATAATTTCAGATTGTTTTATCGGAAATCAATCAATTATTATTTATAAATTATTATAAATTATTATAGTAGGCGAAATATAAATGCATTACACGATACATAATCAGGATATACATTATACTAAATTAACAATCTATTAATTAGCATAAATCAAGAGTGTCATAAATTAACAATAAGAAACATAAATCGATTATTTGTTTGAAATTTGATTTGTCTTTACTATAAATATCTTTTATAGTTTTATAGTATTTGTAATTAAAAAATAAATCAGTCATTTAAGTTACGACTCAACTAGCAAAATAAATGCAGTTGAACTTAATAAATCTGTCCGAATTTGATGATTATGCACTAGCAAACGAAAATGTCCAGTGGCCCAAGTATAATTTTCACATGCTCTTATTGCATGGATTATTTATAGTTTTACTAAAAACGTACTCTTCGTGAGGATTACCATAAGCTATTCCCATACGTGTATGGTCACTGCGTTCTCTCTCTCTCTCTCTCTCTCTCTCTCTCTCTCTCTCTTTTCAGATACACGACTCCATTTCTATAATTAAACTGCGCGCGCGGTCATTTACGATAAAGTTTGCGAAACGACATATCTATGTCAATAAATCGTGTAAAATAATGGACATGGGCAAATAATGTGAAACTTAGTTATGCATCGTATAAAATCGTGCAAGTAAACGTCGTAAAAAAAAAAAAAGCATAAAGGGCGCATTATTTTTAAAATAATTATATAGATATGAAACTACCAAATTTTATCGTAAAAAGTAAAAATTAGCAGCCTAATGATATAAAAATTATTATTCGCGCGTGCAAATACGAAAGTCTGAATCGCGTGTGTGCGTGCACAATTAGATTTGTATTCGCACATGGCATGCATATGCTTCATTCGAAGACGAGGAGAAAAGATATGAGCGTTCTTGCAGTTGAATGCGCTTGTGATGCATCAAAACATTAATCCAACATGATGCGTAATGCAATTCGTATTGAATTCCTTACAAGCACGATAGGGTTCTCTTATAAGTTTAATTGGAAGAATATAAATTATCTGAATTTTTATCGAATATTAATTTTGACTCTTTTGCAAATTCAAATAGCACATATATATTACGATCTAATAAGAGTTTTTGTCTTGGATTTAATACAATATTTAATACAATACTAAAAAAAATACATATAGTATAACGTTTATATAGAATTTCAAAATCCGTTGTTATCCTTATTATCATAAAATTTATTTAGTTAAGCTTACGAGTAATTAAATTAAGTTAAATTACAATTCTGCATTGATTAAACGGTAAATGGCATTACACGGTCCAAAACAATATTCAATATAACGCTTTGAGTTAATTATTCTATAATTATTGTTACATAGTGGCTTTTAATAGCGCCTTTGAGAATGAAGGACGATACGAGAGAAAAGCGATGTTTACGATGATTTAACGGGCTGTGCGTAACGGTGCAATTAGATAGTTGCATCTTAAGAACGTTCGTCTGGCCATTCTCTGCTCTCACATTCAATATCTCTCATCTCGACTCGGCCAGACACATGGCAGATGCGATTTCTTTCTTTCTTCGAATAATTGCCAGCAATTATAACGAGTCTAACGTAGAAAATTGAGGTAAAACGCGTGCGGCACCTGAGAATTGTTTGCATTGCTTATTCACGTTTTAACTCGCGCAATTAGAGCGCAATTTAAGCGTGTGACAATAAGTTGCATGATTTTTTCAGACACGAAGAGACGACTTTCTTTCCGTGTGTTTTATATAACGTTATTTTCGATCAGAGATTATAACGATTATCTATCTCAGACTTTTTATAGCCAGAGAAAATATCTTCTAACGAACGTAGTAGATATATGATGCATTAAAGATAATATTAATTGAAATCTATTTAAAAAAGAAATATATATATATATATATATATTTTTTTTTTTTAATTATTGAGAAACAAATTATGTCTTAAAATAACGCTTCATAATATTTTATCGTGTGCATAATGAATATTTGTTCAAATTAACAATTTAATGATGCTTTCACATAGCTCATCAACCACAATTTTAGGAAAAGGATGAACAAGATAATGGCATCATCATTAGTTACGGCGTTAACCACGCTGGGGATAGTTATTATATTTCATAAAAGATGGATGTATTTTGGGTTGGAAGCGAGAACGTTATGACCAACTTTCAACAGCACGATAAATTAATGAGAATTGGAGTGGCATGTAAAATTTGATTTATGTTTCTCCGAAAAACGTTAATGATTCGTGATATAAAGGCGGTTAACTGAAAATTTGTCTGAAAAAATTACATCTGAAAATACGGATGTTTTCTAGAAGCCCCAATATTCTTTTATAAAAAAGAATCGATTTCAAATCAATTAAAGAACATTCATGAGTTTGAAGTTCTCTAAAATAAACATTAAAGTAAAGAAATTAGATTTTGCATTAAGTAATTTTCAACCTTTCGCATTTTTTTATCCAAATAACATATAACATAAAACTCTACGAATTTAGATTTATATTGTCAGATATACTATGTATACATAGTTACTCAATAAACTTCGTATTGTAAAATTTTTTTTATAAAAAAATTGTGTAGAACCTTTCAATATCATAAAAAATGTTTCATAATTCGTATAAAATACCAATTATATTATCAAAGAGAAATGCAAATAATATATTACTGAAAAAATACATATATATTTCAGCAATTGAAAAAACTTTTGGAAATATATTTCATCATTCCATTCGTTAACTTCGCAAGTCACTATATATATTTGTTACATTATTAAAATTGTACAGTAAGACAGAAAGACTACTTGAAACAGCATTCATGATCAAGTAAATGGATAAAATGCCACGACGAGGATGGAAGGGGATCGCGGCAGCGAAGAGAGAGAAAAAGAGAGTAAACTCACTGTCGTGTCGAGAAAAAGGACTCGGCGAGAGAGGTAGTCACAGATGATCTCCGCAGTCCTTATGCGAGGAGGACCGATGCAGCACTGACAGTTCCGTCGTCCCTCTCTGATTCATTCTACGACTCCCTCTCCGTCTTTTTCCCTCCCGGTCTGGTAAAGAGTAAGAGGACGATGGAGAGTGAACGAGAAGGGTTTATGAACCTGAAAGGGAACCTGGGGGAAGCTAGAGTGTCAGGTGAACGCCGGTATCGTGCTAGAAATATGATGACCTTCGGACAGGTCGCATCGTATGATCACTCCACCGGATATTTTGTATCCTTGGAAACACGTCAAAATTGTGATCAAGTTTTTTTTTCGTAAAAAATGATTTATCGCTATGACAGATCATCCGAAGATGATAAACTGGTCGGTCATGCTTGATAAATTGAAGACTCAAATGTTTTATAGAGTATCGTAAAATAGAATTAATCGGCGAAGAGGCGATAGGAAAGATGATGGTAGGAGAAGAGAATAAATAATGTACTGCAAGTAATGGAAGGGTTTATTAGGGGAATTTAGTCACGCGGAAAAGTTAAAGTTTGTCGAGTCGCATAATCAGTATGCTCATGTTTATTGATGTCCAGGATCGTAATCGATTTTATCTCGTCTATAGGTTAGCAATGTAGCTCTCAATCTTGCTCGAGCGAGTTATTATCGAATGTGTCTGATCGCTTATGATAATGGCGTTTCAATATTCAATAGATGAGTAAGCGACCAAGTCGTCGAGCAGCATCTAATTCTAATTCCCCATTCGTACACCTTGCTTCGTTACTCCTCTAGAGAGAGAGCAGGAAAGGGCTAATACATATATCGAAATCATAATATTATCGCCTTGGTCCTCTAATTGAATATCACTCAAACGCATTAAGGAGCGCGAATCTGTAGTCGTCGATAAAGTCATTTTGCATCGATTTATTCAATATTATATTAGAGAGATTGATATAGATATGTGACGGATCGAAAAAGTTCCTTATTGCGGATTTATTAAATTATTAAATAAAAATAATGAGATGAGAGATATACATCGATTTATGCGTGACAGAATCTAATGACGAAATCTGCAGATGGTGCAACATTTCCAAATAAAGACTTCGAATACCGTAAGCTCCTGCGGCGAGAGCATGTTGCATAATAGATATACTGTCACCGTTATGTCAACGCAACGTCAAATATTCTTATATGGCTTTCAAATGGAACAATATATACTGATCGTCATAAAACCGATATTTAAACGTCGTACAACAATATTTAATATTATGTTGACAAGCCAACGTGCTTTAATTTTATGTCCATCGATTGATAGCTCGATGTTGTGCGAATTTAGAATCTTTTTGCCAGATATCAAGGAATATCCACAGTGTCACGACACTTTTATGTTACGCGATATAATCTGCATACATAATTTAACCGACGATGAAATCCCTACGGTAAATAATAGGGAGATAATTATTTATTCATTTATTTAGTACTCAGTTTTTCTTCCAGAAAGATTCTAGGTAAATAAATTTCAAATACATATATTTCGATCCATTAGTTTTGACTGTTAATCTTTCTCACTGATCATCCCCTCGATTGTTAAATTAGCAACTCTAAAGATCGGTTATAAATTTGATTAATGTGGAAGTCAAGATAAAAGAGGACCATCTCAATAATTGTAATATTTTTTTCGCAAGACTGCTCACCCGTTCTTTGTTCAAATACTCTTTGTGCGAAACTAAACTTTCTCGCAAAGTAAACCTCGCGAATCGAGATGGGAGACAAAGCCGCAGCAAAGTTTTCTGGTAAAAGCTGTAATTTAACTCCTTCGTGAAACAAATGTATGAATTGTCAACGCGATGCAGAAGTCTCGCGAATTTGTTTTAGAGAAGACATGCGAATTTTATCTTGCAGGAAATTTTACTCCAATTTTTTTAAATCACTCATTTGTTAAATATACCGCATGCATTAATTAAACATTACAAAAGAGTTGTACGAGGCGAATCATGACTATTTTTATCTTGTTCCGTTATATCGATGTTTCGTAGGTAGTAGAAAAGATGACTCATATCTTTTTGTTCATCGTGTTACATAAAAATGTTACATCATTCTTCTTTCAAGATAATTAGATTGATTTCTTCTATTCTAATTCGTGCGACATAATGACACGACACTATTATGAGGATATATTATATATTAGTAATAAATTATGAAGAAACTCGCATTGAATCAATCGCAACAATGGTTCTAAAAATATAAATAAAAAGTACGTTAATTTTGAAAAATAAAAGATACAAATTTATTTTGTAAAATAATCGATATTTTTGATTAAAAAAATATCCCACAAATCCTTGTTTTAAAGATGTTTTAGGATACAATTAATAAATACACATTATTTTTTTATATGAAAATCTCTATGTAAGTTTAAAATTCGCAATTAAAGAGAAAGAATTATACAAATGAATGTATTTGTCTGTAATGAGGATTTTTCACTAGTTGCTACATTCTGGGCGATTGATTCGATACCTCTGAATTACCTATCTGATGTGCCAATAATGGGTCGCGAATGGCCCAGTTTCGGCAATTCCGACCGCCGCCCCGAGTAGAGTCAATCGACAAAGGTTCCGTGCTTCGACTTCGGTTCGGCCGAGATCGAATAACGGGCGACGTGACTGCCAAGATTGCTTCTTCGCGAGATGAAAACTGGAGAAATAGGGATAAGCGCGTGTCGCTCGTGCGAATAAAATCCGTAAAGGCGTAAAGGAATTCAAATCGCTTTTGTCGCCGATATCATATGGTTCGAAATCGCGAAACGATTTTCGATCGTGCCTGTAGTTTCGAAAGCGTGGAACGTGACTTGCTGAAGAGCAACGATATAGTTAGCTTAACATTCCCAAAATAATAGTTAGCTTAGCATTCCGCAGTAAATAAATCTGCTATTACAATTTATATATATATATATATATAAAATTGTAATAGCAGATTTATTTACTGCGGAATGCTAAGCTAACTATTATTTTGGAGCATCGTTGCTCTTCAGCAAGTCACGTGTATACTACAAAACTAATAAAAACTTGTATATATTTATACACACATATACTTGTATATACATACATACATGTACGCAGGACTTTTATAACTTTATGTTATTTATTATTTAAATACATATATATGGTAAATTATATGAATTTATTTTTCATTCAAATTTAATTTTTATTTCATATTTTTTATCGTCATTTTTTTAAAGCAAAATTATATTACAAGTTTTTTATTAGTTTTGCAGTATACATGATTTGTGTGTTTGTGAGAGAAATCTATTTTATGTTTCTATTGTTCATACATATATATAGGATTAATTTCGCTATACGTTGAGCCTTTATGGCGTTTAATATAATATATACAACGCATAATTTGTCTTTACATCGCTGTGAGTCGATATGAAAGCAAGATAATTACTATCCTTGCGGTTTCTTGCGGTTCTTCACGGTTCTTCGTGATAAATTCAGATGGCAGTAGTCTGATCTAACACAGTTTTATGCTACTTTGCTTTATATGTGATGTCTTTCTATTTTTATTTTTAACAAATGTGTCAGCAATTAATAAGAAAATAATTTTTTCTATTATTTTTGTTATATTATTTTATTTAAGATATAACGTATTCATATAATGTACAAGTAAAAAATTCTGTAAATTATCTTAACTTTTGTACTATTAGTGTCGGAAAAAGCTAGTGGCGGAAAAACTCTATATTTAACATTTATTATATTATAAAAATCATATATATATATATACATATATATATAATTTTTTTTTATTTCAATAGTTTTACGTTAAAATATTTTACGTTATAAGAGTTTGTGTAATTATATTATATTTACATTTTATGCAAATTTTATACAGAGATATGTGTGTGTATGTTATCAATCTTTCGCGTCGATACTCCTAAGTGTTAAAATTTTCTCAAAATTCGGTAACTCCGTCGAAAGGTTGAAACGATGACGGCTATCTAGAATAGCGAATCGTATTTCAAAGATTTAGGTCAGTACGCGAAAATGGATGCAATACATGTAGTTGCTCTTTTACCAGATTCTAATGTCGTCACGACGACATTGTACGTGATCGTAGAAACAGGTCGGGAATTACAGTTTCCATTACCTCGCGGTTTCAGTGAGGGACAGATAGAAATTAACAGACTGCCGCGCGAATGTTAACCAATTATATGGCCGTGACCGACTGTGTTCTAAAGATTCAGAGAAAATGGTTTGAAGCACGTTTCTCATTTTTTTACAATATTTTTCGAAAGCTTTTAATAGAAAAAATATTTATGTATTGCGCATTGCGCGTAAATCTAAGCTCGGCTCTCCGATCTCTTCATCATCATTATTAAAAATATTCGTATTTAGATTATTTTATTTTTTTTTCAAATATAACGAGAATAATAAAAAAGTTATTTACTATATTTTAAATAATATATGCTGAACTGGCTGATTAATAATTAAATGTGAATTAATAATTAATTTTAAAAAGAATAGCAAATTTAAATCAGTGATGCATATATAATAATAATAATTTATAGAGTTTGTTATTTTGCGTAGCTGCATTACAAAATAAATACAATGCTTATAAAGCAGATTTATAATTTATTTTTAAAACGTAATGGGGAATTTCTTTTTTATCTTCAAACAATACAAGAAAATTTCTTCTATAGCAGAGGAATTTCTATGGCATTGCATTGAAACGTAATGAAATATAATTGCGAATAATTTATAAATGAATATTATAAAATATGTAGTTACAAATGTGTATAATTAAATAATTTTAAATTATAGCTTATAAATAATAACGTAATATTATAATTAAATAGCTATTAATATAATATTTATTATTAATATGAATATCAGTTATTAGCAATATTAATAACAATATATATGTATTTACTAAAATTTTAGTAAAGTACAGGGAACAATCGATGAAATATAATACACATTTATTAAAAACTTGATTGTTCTTGAATATAATGTATTAAAAAAAAAAGTTGTAGCTAATTATTTCTTTTTCCGTGCGCAAAACTTGATCTCAATCTCTCAATTTA